CAAGCATTAAGAAAGACACTAAGATCTTCCTTTTTTTCCCCCTGACAGCAGTAGATAAAACTCCCATCTGAAAGTTTCACCTCCCTATACCAGGAGGAAGAAAAACATTCTTACCACCAGAAATGAGCACTGAAGGCCAAGCTAAATCTGTACAAACAAACCTTATTAAACTAAGCCTTATCTTCCAAGTTCCTTTTCCACAATTAACTGCCATAGCCCAAACCCCTTTGTCTTGTTACATTTTCACACTTGACTATTCTTTGTCCAACCTAGTATATAAGCTTTGGGTCCTAATTTCTTTGGGTCTTGATTTTTCTTGTAAAGATCTCATGTACATGTAAAAAGTGCTAAATTAAATGTGTACAGTATGCTTTTCTCCTGTTAATCTGTCTTATGTCAGTCTAATACTTAGGCCTAGCCAGAGACCCTAAGAGGACAGAGGAGAAGAATTTTTACCTACAGCTTCTTTATGCCAATAGCCTGCAACTAGGGCACTCTTGAAGCCTTCCTTTTTTTCCAGTATAAAGCTTTCCAACTCCTCTTCCTGCCTTTGAATCTTTGCCAAAATACAAGTAGTGGTGGCTGACTCCCTTCCTCTAGTAAGCTCTAAAAAAATAGCTTTTGCTTGTTCTCCTTCCTTGGTCTTCATTTGTTTCCACACTGCAAGGTTCTTCCCTACCCCCACCCCCTCAAAATATTCCTTAATAGTACTTCTCACAGTTAATATTTAAAATTCATTTGTATCACTGTTTGATTAACACTCTATGTCCACTAGACTATAAGAACCATGAGAGAAGAAACTTCACCACTGTAACTTCCAATGCCTACCACAGTGCCTGGCACATAACGGAAAACTGATATATATTAATTGGATATCAATTTTGGAGCCCCACAACCAGTCAACCAAATCAGATCTCTCTGGAGGAAAGAGTTATAGGACCCAGGAATCCATGTTTTAAATAATTTCTTTCAGATAATTTTTTTTCTTGATTGACTTTAGAGAGAGAGGAAGAGAGAGGGAGAGACAGAAATATCAATGAGAGAGAATATTGATTGGCCACCTCCTGCATGCCCCTCCCTGAGGATTTGGCCCACAACCTGACCACTGGCTCAGTGGTTGAGTGTTAAGCCATGCACCAAGAGGTTGCCAGTTCGATTCCCGGCCAGGGCACAAGCCCAGGTTGTGAGCCCAATCCCCAATGGGGGCATGCAGGAGGCAGCCAATTGATTTCTCTCTCATCGATGTTTCTCTCTCTCTCTCTCTCTCTTTCCCTTCCTCTCTCTCTAAAATCACTAAAGAAAAATAAATTTTTTTTTTTTTATAATGAATTTTTATTTATTTTTTTGTTACAGATATTTTACCTTTTTACCCCATTGGCACCCTCCACCCCACCCCCCCTCCACCCTGTCCCCGGCTTAGTTGTCCATGTCCATTGGTCATGCACACATGCATATAAGTTCTGTGGTTTATCTCTTCCCACCCTCCCCGCCCCCCATCCCCTCTTCTGAGGGATGTCAGTCTGTGCCCTACTTCCATGTGTCTGGGTCTACTGTATTCCTCAGACTGTTATGTTCATTATATTCCGTATATAAGTGAGATCATGTGGTATTTGTCTTTTTCTGCTTGGCTTCTTTCACTTAGGATAATACTTTCCAGGTCCCTCCATGTCGTCTCAAAGGATGAGAGATCTTTCTTTCTTACCGCTGCATAGTACTCCATTGTGTATATGTACCACTGCTTTTTTATCCATTCGTCTACTGGTGGACACTTGGGCTGTTTCCAGATCTTAGCTATTGTAAATAGTGCTGCTATGAACATGGGGGTACATATATTCTTCCTGATTGGTGTTTCAGGCTTCTTAGGGTATATTCCCAGCAGTGGGATCACTGGGTCAAATGGAAGTTCAATTTTTAATTTTTTGAGGTAGCACCATATTGTTTTCCATAGCGGCTGCACCAGTCTGCATTCCCACCAGCAGTGTATTAGAGTCCCCTTTTCTCCACACCCTCGCCAACACTTGTTGTTTGATGATTTGTTGATGGCGGCCACTCTGACAGGTGTGAGGTGATACCTCATTGTTGTTTTAATTTGCATCTCTCTGATGATTAGTGATGTTGAGCATTTCTTCATATGTCTCTTGGCCATTTGTATGTCCTGTTTGGAGAGGTGTCTATTCAGCTCCTCTGCCCATTTTTTAATTGGGTTCTTTGTCTTCCTTTTGTGGAGTTGTAGGAGCACTCTATATATATTGGATATTAACCCCTTATCTGATACATCATTGGCAATGATGTTCTCCCATACAGTGGGTTGCCTTTCCATTTTGATGATTGTTTCTTTTGCTGTGCAGAAGCTTTTTAGTTTGATGTAGTCCCATGTGTTCATTTTCTCCTTTATTTCTGTTGCCTTAGGTGATGTATCAGTGAAAATTCTGCTCTGTATGATGTCCGAAATTTTGTTGCCTACATTTTCCTCTAGAATTTTTATGGATTCACGGGTCACATTTAAGTCTTTTATCCATTTTGAGTGAAAAATAAATTTTTTTAAAGAAACATTTAAATTAAAAAAAACTTTCTGTTTTAAACTGAGAAGTAATTGAAAATGGTACACCAGCCCTGGCCGGTTTGGCTCAGCGGTTAAAGCGTCTGCCTGCGGTCCGGAGGGACCCGGGTTCGGTTCCCGCTAAGGGCATGTACCTCGGTTGCAGTTGTTCCCGGCCCTGGTTGGTCGTGCGGGTGGCAGCCACTCAATGTGTCCCTTTCACATCGATGTTTCCCTCTCTCTCTCTTCCTCTCTCTCCCTCCCACTCTGTCTGTACAAAAAATGGAAAAATGTCCTCGAATGAGGATAAAAAAAAGAAAAAAAAGAAAATGGTACACCAGAAGTAGTTCAGAAATTTAGGAATAGTTCTTTCCGAGAAGAGGTTAGATGAAATTGTTATTATAGTTTTAGAAGATCAGCTTTCCAACAATTAAACACTTTTTTTTTCCCAAATAACTTCATCAACCAAATATAGCTTCTTCTCAGCTGTCCCATATCTTACTGAAACTATCAAATACTTAGTACAATTTCCAATTTATTACCACACTAAAATTTGTTCCAAAAGTTGTTACTAAGTATTTTACATCAGATTAGTTTTGAAGTAACAGAAAGCAACAAAATTTTTTAAACGACTATTTTTATTGAATATGTTTTCATTGATTTTTAGAGAGAGAGAGAGAAACATCAGAGTGAGGGAGAAGCATCGATTGGCTGCCTCCTGCACGCTTGCTACTGGGGATGGAGCCCACAATTTAGGCATGTGCCCTAACTGGGAATCAAACTGGTAATCTCTTGGTACATAGGATGACACTCAATCCACTGAGCCACACCAGCCCCGCAACACATAAAATTTTAATTTAATTTTCTTTCTCCTGAATGAAGTCATGCCTATGTTTTTGTTGTTGTTTATTTGTGGGTTTTTTTTTGTGGTATGTGCCCCTAGTGGGAACTGAACCCGGGACTCTCTGGTCCACAGTTTGATGCTTAACCGCTGAGCCAAACCAGCCAGGGCCATGCCTATGTATTTTAATTTTTAGAAACATTTCAGCCCTGGCTGGGTAACTCAAGTTGGTTAAAGCAGCATCCTGATCCGCCAAAGTTGCAGATTCTATCCCCGGTCAGGGCCCGTACAAAAAGCAAGCAATAAAATGAACGCATAAATAAGTGGAACAACAAGTCCATGTTTCTCTCAAAAAAAATTTTTTTTTGTAAAAAACAAAACAAAATGCATTGTGGTGGGGTTTTTTTGTTTGTTTTATGGAAGCATTTCAGAATCATTTGTGTACTTTATTACTTACCTCTTCTTTTGGGAAATATTATTTCCCAGGACACCTTTTGTTCATTTGGCTATTCCTCTCCATTCTTTCTTTATCCATGTGTTGTTTCACCATGTTCTCTCTTTATTGATTTTTTTTTTTTCCCAGAGAGAGAGAAATAGAAACACTGATGAGAGAGAACATCGACTGGCCACCTCCTGCATGCCCCCCACTGGGGATTTGGCCCACAACCTGGGCTGTGCCCTGACCGGGAATCGAACTGGCAACCTCTTGGTGCATGGGCACCATGTTCTTTCTTATACATGGAGTTTTTAACCTAAGGACTGTCCTCACTTTGTCCTCCATTGAGTAAGTTACACTTTTGGTTTCTAAACCAATTGCTAAAGGCAGTGCTTTTTGTTTTAAAACAACAACAACAACAAAAACCGCCTCAAACATAAACATAAACCTCAAAAATAAAAATCATTGTATTCACTCTTGCTTGTTTAGAATGATTGAGATATAATACTTTCAGTTTTTTCTTGCAATTTGTGACGCAAAGTTACCTAAATCATTTCTGCTTTGTTTGCTCACATGTAAAATGGAGATAACAGTATTCACCTCATAAGACTAGCCCTAGAGTAATAATGGTGACTTCTGGGTGTTGGCATTAGTTTTATCCTTTGTACTAATATTTAAGCAGAGTTCTTTCTAAAAAAAAAAAAAAAAAGGGGAAAGAAAAAAACTGATGGCTACTCTAGGAGTAATATTCATTTCAGATAAATATAAAGTGATCTTTGAAGTAGCTGAGCACAGGAGATTCCTCTGGAAAATTAAATTTTGTTCATTTGTCCTCAGATAAATTTGGGTTGGAATTGGCTCTTTCCCTTTGGGAGAAAGTCACAGTTGTAGTACTTAACCCTTCTTTTGGTCGATTTCCGCCCTTACAAAACCGGGATAAATACCACCTATTTCAAAAGTTCGTAAAAATTAAATGAGGAAATATATGTGACCTACCTACCAGGGGTTTAAGAATGTAGAGGTCAATGAATGATAATTACAGTAATACTGCTCATTAATTAAAAAACATTTAAGGATCCCTCACTCCTAGAGATGCATAAAGGTTAATGACTCTGCCTTTACACTAGCCTTAGAGGAGTGCACAGAGGATGTAAGAACACGCAGAAACCCTCCAGAACCACTACCGCGAGGAACCAAACTCGCAGCCCCCGTTACACCACGGAGCCCTCCCCTTAGCACAAGCAACATGTTTGCGCACGCGCAATTACACGCTTTCATCCAGTCCGCTGCTCGACTCCGCGCCAAAGATGCCTACTTGTGCGCCTGCGCCGTGACGTAGACGGGGGACTGGCTGGGTTGTAAACCATGGCGTGGGTACCCGCGGAATCTGCAGTGGAAGAGTTGATGCCCCGGCTGTTGCCAGTGGAGCCCTGCGACTTGACAGAAGGTTTCGATCCCTCCATTCCGCCGAGGACGCCTCAGGAATACTTGAGGCGGGTCCAGTGAGTGATTTGGCGTGGGGGGCGGGGGAGCTGGCCGTCCTTCCTGTCCCCGGGCAAGTGTGAGCCCGACGTGTGATCAAGTGGCGCCTTTGTTGCCGTTCCCAGTCTCACTAGAGTTCGGGTCGGGTCGAGATCACTTGATTACACCTTTACGTGAGCATCTGTGAACTTAATTATATTAAACTTGATTACCCATCAAGATGTGTGATCTTTGATTTCCTTGTTTTTAATCCAGATAATTTTAGAAACATTTTGACGAGTACCTCAATTACATTTCAGAACTGCTTTTCTGATTTCATAATGAACTGTAGAAACGGATAGCTTTTTTCACTACACGTGAATAAAACACGATAGTAATCACGTTTCATGCATGTATTACTTTTTGTAGGATCGAAGCCGCTCAATGTCCAGATGTTGTGGTAGCTCAAATTGACCCGAAGAAATTGAAAAGGAAGCAAAGTGTGAACATTTCTGTGAGTTTTACTACCCGTCTGGGGACTTTTTTACCCCCCACAAATTATCTTGTATGACAAAGCGGTGTGTTCTTTTTATGCTTATAGAACTACAATGGAAAAAAATGTATTAACAATCTCATAATGTATTTTTTTTTAATGCTAATTCTTACCTAAAGGCAATGGAACAAAAAATAAATAAACTAAGAAAAAAGAGAAAAAGATCAAGGCTCTTCCTATAGTATAGTATCCAACAGTATCTGAAGGTTACTATGTAGGTAAGATTTGACAGCTATTCCCTACAAAGTTAGACATTTTTCCTCCAAAAGAACAATTGGCATTTTCTGCCCCCAGAGGCTTTCAGTAACCCTGGCATTGGTACAGATTTCCTCTTCATACTTTAGGACCATGATCCAATCCTAAAAAAGACTTTAAAGAGGCTACTTATGCTAAGCTTTATTTTTAAGAAACCTTTTCCAGTTATCTTCATAATTATTATCATACTATTTAATCTTAGTGTCGTTTACATGTTCAGTTTTTGACTGGGTTTTGCTTTTTTTAAGAGTAGAAACTCAGATATCTTACACTTTTTTTTTTTTTTTTTACCTACTTGCACACTGACCATTTTCATTCATTTATCCAAGCACATTTTTTTTACTAACCAACTAGGTTGTGCTGGGCACTGGAAATACAACAGAGATGAGACAGAAAATGTCCCTACCCTTGTAGAGTTTACATTCTCCTGAGAAAGACTGACAGTAAACAAACAAACAAATCAAATAATTATATATTTTGAATGCTACAATGAAGAAAATTAACATATATAATGACCAGTAAATAACAGGGATAACTGCTTTAGACAGTCACAGAAGGTCTCTTTGAGAAGGTGAATTTAACTTAAGGTCAAAGGAGAGTCAGAAACAGAAGTAGACCTTTCAGAGTCAAATATCTTAAATTATTTGAGTATGTTCTGCCTATAATTAAATTGTTTATTTTGGATATATCTCTCTTTTTGTTTCAAAGTGTTTTTCTATTCTAGAAAGGTAGGACTAGATTGTCTCATCAAAGCTCGTATTATTTAGATTTCATAGATACTATAACTATAAACCATTCCAGATTGCGCTTATTAAAATGACTAAATAAGGATCTTTTCCTAACACTTTTTTAAAATATTTTTTATGATTTTAGAGGGAGAGAGGGAGAAACATTGATTGCTCGCATCCCAAGCAGGAATAGAACGAACAACCTGGACATGTGCCCTGACCAGGAATTGAACCTATGACCTTTTGGTTCAACCAGCTGAGCCACACCAGCCAAATTCAGATATAAATAGTCAAGTGTTTTTCACATGAGCAAAAAGTACTTTTTTTTTTTTTTTTTGGTATAGTCTTAATCATTTTCTTTATTATTCACTGTTCATGTTGATTTTACTTGTATTTTGCAGAGGCATGAGATTCTAGTTACAACGCTAACATTGATTCTAACAATTATGAACTGATCTCTAGCTTTCAGGGTGCCAACCTGCTCCTGAAGGCTATTCCCCCACACTTCAGTGGCAACAGCAGCAAGTGGCACAATTTTCAACTGTTCGACAGGTAAGTGTACTTTAATCATTTAATCAAATTAAATCCCTCAGCTTTATTTCTGTTCTTAGACTTTAGTTGGAAAAATAAGATTTGTGATTTTGAAGTGTAAAGAAAAGAATATTTATGAATCAATGACCAAATTATTATTATAATCATTAGACATAATACAGTTTGATACATATTTTCCAAGTTTTAGGATTATTAGAATGTTGTGCAGCAATTGATTTCTTTTCAGTTATCCATTCTCTGAAGCTCATGTCTAATTCTTCTTCCTATAGAGTGTGAACAGACATAGAAGTCACTGGAAATCACAACAGTTGGATAGTAATGTGACCATGGTATGTAAGTTTAAGTTCTATAGTGTATCCCTATTTAAAATAGTCCATGTTTACTTCCAGTCTTTAAAGATTCATTTACTTAGTCCATATTATTTTCTTCTCTTTTTCATCTACCCTTAATAGTAACACTTCCATTATGTTAGTTGCCTTAAAAGTATAAAATCAGTAATATAAGTTGTTATTTTTTTATTTGTTTTGATCCACAGCATTTTGAGAGATTTTCGATAGGTAATTGTTGGACCTTTGTAAGTTTTTAAGGGTCCTTCTAGACATTGCTTTTTAGGAAATAAATATATTTTCAGCGTTTATAAAAAGATTAAGTAAAGACTTAAATGGATTTTCCTGATGAGATAATGGTGTCAATACCAGTGACTTTTTTTTTTTTTTTAACCTCACCTGAGGACATTTTTCGATATTTTGTTCAGAGAGTGGGAGGGGGAGAGAGAGAGAGAGAGAGAGAAACATCGATGTGAAAGGGACACATCGAGTGGTTGCCACCCGCACCAACCAGGGCCGGGGACAAACTGCAACCGAGATACGTGCCCTTAGCGGAAACCGAACCTGGGTCTCTCCAGACCTCAGGCCGACGCTCTAACTGCTGAGCCAAACCAGCTAGGGCACCAGTGACATTTTAATCAAGCCTGACATGCATAATAAAGTCTGGAAAAAAGTATTTCTTTCATTTTACTAGCTTAGATATAATATTAAACTCTTCAGTAGATATAATATATCTGAACTACCACATAAAAAGGGGAATTTGGGAAGAGATGGATACATTGTTCCAGGGCATTACTTTTTTCTCCTGTAAAAAGTTTTTAATTTTTACTTTTTACATTTCCCTCTTTATTTATTTTTTAATGTTTTTAAATCTTCACCTGAGGATATTTTTCCACTTATCTTCAGATAGAGTGCGAGGGAGAGAGAGGAAAAGAGAGAGAGAGAGAGGAAAAAAGAGAGAGAGAGAAACATCAATGTGAAAGGGACACCTCGAGTGGCTGCCTCCCACACAACCCCAACCAGGGCCGGGGACAAACTGCAACTGAGGTATGTGCCCTCAGTGAGAACCGAACCACAGTCTCTAGACCATGGCCGATGCTCTTACCGCTGAGCCAAACCAGCCAGGGCCTTCCTAACATCTTTTACCTAGTGACACATTGGGATAAATGGAGGAGGCTGCTTGCATAATCTTCCTGAGACTACTAGCTGAAAGCTGAGAAAGTCAGTATGTGGCCTCTCTCTCTCTCTTTTTTTTATTGATTTTAGAGAGAGGGGAAGGAAGAGGGAGAGAGAGATAGAAACATCGATGAGAGAGAACATCGATTGCCTGCCTTCTGCATGCTAGCCACTGGGGATCAGGCCTACAATTTGGGCATGTGCCCTGACCAGGAATCGAACTGGCAACCTCCTGGTACATGGGTTGACGCTCAACCACTAAGCCGCACCTGCCGGGCAATGGCCTCTCTCTATGCTTCTCCAAACCAGTTGGAAATTCTGCTCTATGAAAAGTGTGAAAGGAACTGATATCACTTGCCCAAGACCATTTAACTCATGAATGGTAGAGCTAAGACCTTCCTGACCCTCATGTAAATATTGTTCTGCCATCTGGGGTCCCCCATCTAAGTGTCCCTGATGGCAGGCTGCTTTTTAAATAATAAAGATGGTTTTGAATTTTTAAAAAATTAGGTAATTAACTTAAAAAAATGTAGCTGGGAGCCACCGACGTTTGTCTGACTCTAAAGCTATGCTGTGAGGCTTCTAAGCAAGAAAGTAGGTAGGCAGATTTTTTTTTTTTTTCTTGCTCAGTATAAGGACTTTATATACATGCTTACTAATAAAAACAAAAAAAAACAAACACATCAATAACATGATGTACCATTTTCTCAAGAATGAAATGACCCAATGCAATTGATTCAATTAATTATTATCCATTGAATCAGGAATGTTATGTAACAATAACATAGGTTCATCATGGCAAATGTAAACATGAAAATAATAAAAAGAAAAAATTTAAAAGCACATTCTGGTGTCAACTATGTAAATATAAACATTTATGTATTGATTTATCCAATTATTTGTTAAGCACCTACTATATTTAATAATCAGGATATTCAGTGCAGAAATAATCTCTAACCTAATGGAGTAATGGAGAAAGGTGGATACATTATTTCGGGATAATAGGTTTTAACTTTTTAGGGATCTCATATTCATCCTGAGAATCTAATAAAAGGTATTTATCCTCGGGGGTGGAGGTGGGGAGGGAGAACTGCACCTTTGCAAAGTAATGTGTACAAATAAAAATAGTTTTATTAAGATAGTTATACTGGCCCTGGCCAGTTTTGCTCAGTGGTTGGAGCGTCAGCCCGCAGACCAGAGAGGCCTGGGTTCGGTTGATGCTAAGGGCACGTACCTCCGTTGCGGTTTTTCCCCGGCCCTGGTTGGGGTCATGTGGGTATCAGCCACTTGATGTGTCTATCACATCGATGTTTCTCTCTCTCTTTTCCTCCTTCCCTCCCTCCCACTCTATGTCTCAAGATAAAATGCAAGAATGTCCTTGGATGAGGATAAAAAAAAAGAAGAAGATAGTTAATACTGAAAAATAAAGATAGTTATATTGAGCTGAGTGCTTCTCCCCACTGGTCCTGCCTTTTCCATCTGGCAATATAGAATGAATCTATTCCTTCTTTGATTGGACAGCCCATCAAGTATGTGTAGTATATAATCATGTCTCCTTCCCTGGAATAAACATCTTTCATTCTTGTTAGCATTCTTAATATGTTTTTTATACCAATTTCCATGTTTATCATCTTCTTTTGAGAATACCCTTACCGCCCTGGCCAGTTTGGCTCAGCGGTTAGAGCGTCGGCCTGCGGTCTGGAGAGACCCGGGTTCGGTTCCCGCTAAGGGCACATACTTCGGTTGCAGTTTGTCCCCGGCCCTGGTTGGTCGTGCGGGTGGCAGCCACTCGATGTGTCCCTTCACGTCGATGTTTCTCGCTCTCTCTCCCTTCCTCTCTCTCCCTCCCACTCTATCTGTACAAAAAATGGAAAAATGTCCTCGGTTGAGGATTTAAAAAAAAAAAAAAAAAAGAGAATACCCTTACTTGTCAGTGTCTTACATATGGTGTGACCACCTGGGTACTGTATTATATAGTTTGCTGGGGCCGCCATAGCAAAGTACCACAAACTGGGTAGCTTAACAAATAGTAATTTAGTTCTTCAGGCTAGAAATCTAAGTTAAAGGTGTCAGTAGGTTTGGTTTCTCTCAAGGCCTCTCTCTTTGGCTTGTACATGCCATCTTCTCATTGTGTCTTCCCACTGTCTTCCCTCTGTGCACACACATCCCCAGTGTCTCTTTGTGTACAGATTTCCTCTTCTTTTTTTTCTTATATTGATTTTTAGAGAGAAAGGAAATGAGAGGGAGAGAGAGAGAAACATTGATTGGCCTCCTCCTGCATGCCCCCTACTGGGCTTCAGGCCCACAATCTGGGCATGTATGTGTCCTGACTGGGAATCAAACCGGCAACCTCCTGGTGCATGGGTCAATGCTCAACCACTGAGCCACACCAGCTGGACCAAATTTCCTCTTCTTGCAAGGATACAGTGTGATTGGATTTGGGCCCCCTGTAGAGCTTCAGTTTACCTAAATCACCTGTTTCCAAGTACAGTCACATCATGAGATACTGAGAGTTAGGTTTTCAACATTTGAATTTGGGGGGAAGGACATAATTCAATCCATAGTAGGCACCATAGCTTTGTGTTGAGGTGGTAGAACTATGAAAGAATACTCATTTGTACAGTTCAGTATTTTACCAATACCTAGATATAAGTAAGTTTCTTTCTCTTTTAGCCAACATCTGAAGATGAAGAAGGCTGGAAAAAATTTTGTCTGGGTGAAAGATTATGTTCTGAAGGGGCTATTAGACCAACTAAAAATGAAAGTCCTGGAATAGATTATATAGAAGTAAGTGAAAGTGGGTAAACAAAACAAAAAGTATTCTGGTTTTGGTATATGATTTAATATAAAGGGTCAGCACACTACAGCCTAGTCCAAATCCAGTCCACAGCCTATTTTTTTACAGCTCATGAGCTAAGAATGGTTTTTATATTTTTAAAGGGTTATAAAGAAACAAACTATGTGACTAAGTGTGTGTGGCCTGCAAAGCCTTTTTATTTTGGCTGTTTACATAAAATGTTTGCCAACCCCTAACTTAGTTTAGTATCTCTTTAACTTAAAAATTGGCATCCCAGTTTCTGAAACAGTGTACTGTAACATTTTTTAGTTTGGCTTTATGTCATTTATGTTTTAGCTGTGTAGTAATTTTGTTAATTAGATAGGATTTTTTTTTAATATTAGTCACTCATTGATAAGTGGCAGGGAAACAGGAAAATATACGACGTAATTAGAGATGTTCTTAAAAATCCTTAGTAGCCCAGCTGGTGGGTGAGACTTACTTGTTTGAAGTCGACCCATGCACCAGGAGGTCACCAGCTCAATTTCCAGTCAGGGCACATGCCCCGGTTGGGGGGCTTGATCCCCAGCAGGGGCCATGAGGAGATAGCCAATCGATGTTTCTCTCTCATCGATTTCTATCTCTCCCTCTCCCCTTCCTCTCTCTGAAATCAATAAAAGCATATATATTTTTAAATCCTTAGTAAATTGCATATTCTGGAGATGAAATGTTGAGAATATATTTAAATTTCACATGGTTTCAGTTAAATTATGTGGACAGCTCCTTCTTATCCTTCAGGATTCCCCTGCCCTTGAGTTTGCAGATGTTTCTATGGAACCTCTGCATTACTACTAACTTCCTATATTATGTGTTCTTTTCTGTTGACGAGGTATTTATTATTTGCTATGTGGTACCACACTGTATTTTCCTATATAAAACTAATTTATCCCCAAAATGTAAAAGCTCCAAAAATCACTAAAAAGACCAAGAACCCAATTAAAAAAAAAAATCCAAGGATACAAATAGACATTTCACAGAAAGGAAATACAAATTGTTCTTGTATGAGAAGATGCACAAACTCACCTGTAATATAAAGTAACTTATAACTACACTGGGTTGCTATTTTTCAGGTAATATGTTGGCAAAGAAAGCTTGATATACCTTGTGGATAGGGCTGGAAAACAAGAACTCTTGCACATGTGATGGGAATTAAAAAATAGATTCACATCTCTAGGGGAACTAATTTGGCACTGTTTCTTATACAACCTATTCTTTTGGATAATCCCTAATGTATGTTACATTTAAAAAAATATGTTTTAATAAAGAATTAAAATGTATTTATTTAGCTTGTTATTACAAAATACATACCAGTGACATATACTATCTGAAAGAACCATTTAAAGATGCAAGAGTTTATTGCATGTCCTCTTAAGTTTCTCACTAGTTAGTGCTATTTTCATAATCAAGGCTCCCAGCATTAAACTTTATTTATTTATGTATTTATTATTTTTTAATATCTTTTTATTTATTTTTTTTAGAGAGAGAGATAGAAACATCAATGTGAGAGAGAAATATCGATCAGCTGCCTCCTGTATGCCCCACACTGGGGATGGAGCCTGCAAACTGGACATGTGCCCTGACCAGGAAGGAATGAAACCGGGACCTCTCAGTCCATGGGACGACGTTCAATCCACTGAGCCACAGCGGCCGGGCCCTGCATTAAACTTTAAAGTAGATTTTTTTAATTGAATCAGATTCAGTTTGAAAAAAGTCATTCTACTTCAACTGCCCTTAAGTCTTGAAAATATTAGCTTTAGCTGAAGATATATATATATATATATATATATATTTTTTTTTTTTTTTGAGAAACAAAAACCAAGTTTATTTGTTCATTTCTTGCATTTGAAGTACTCTTCAATGACATCCTTTGCCTGAGATTCTTTGCCATAGTCCTTAACCACCACAGAACTGCAACCAACCACTTTACGGGGTTTTCCCTCTCTGTCGATTTTGCAGAGGCCTACCCACTCTCCTAGTTTCTTGTTGTCAACCTTGATGAAGTTGATTTGGTGTTCTGCACAAAGGGCATCCACCAACTTGACATACATAGGCTCATCACAGTTGGATACGAGCACACAAAGGTGGGCTTGGCGCTTGTCTAAGGCTTTGGCAGCTTAGCGAATTCCGCGCGCTAGGCCATCGTGGATGAGGGTGGTCTTCAGCACCTCCTGTAAAGCTGTGTTAACGTCCATTACACCTCCAGCAGCAATGCCTTCCTCGCCCATGGCAGTGGGTTATGGGTAGAATGCACCCAAGCCTTTGCCTCCGCGCAACTCCGCGGTGGCAGGGAAAGAGCAAAGATATATTTTTTAAAATACTCAGTGAACTTTTTATTTATGTTTTAAATTGACTTTTAGAGAGAGGAAGGGGCAGGGGACAGAGAGAAGGAGACAGAGAGAAACATCTATGTGAGAGAGAAACACCGATTGGTTGCCTTCCGAACATGCCCTGACCAGGGATCTAGCCTACCACCTTTTGGTGTACTGAGTCTCCAACCAACAGAGCTGCACTGGCCAAGGCTAGCTGAAGATGTTTTTAAAAATTTGTATGACATATTAAAGTCATAATACTGATAGTATCTATCATTTTTTAAAAAGTTTATACTTTCACATTTTAATTACTAAAATCATTCTTTATTTTTAAATTTACATATTCAGATTTCAAGACATTATTTGGGGGGCATTACCAATGTAATAGTTCATGGAACATTTTATTGTAATAGGCAATCAAGGAATTTTGTTTTAGCCATTTTTTGTTTCTACATAACAGTGTGATGAGAAATTCATCAGTTTAAAAAAATGTTTAAATCCCCCCTTATAACGCCATATAGTAAATTTTAATCTCATTTTTCTTTCAGATTGGTTTTCCTCCCTTGCTTAGTATTGTTAGCAGAATGAATCAGGTAAAGTCCATCTAATAATAAGGATATGTGCATTCTTTTGTTTGCAATGTGTGTGAAAGTATTTGAATACATTTACTGAATATTTATGCAAGACCCTGTCCTAAACACTTTAACAGTTCTTATTTAATCCTTACTGCAACCCTATATAGGGCATTATTATTAATATCCCTTTTATAGAGAAGAGGAAACAAAATTAAAGGTTGAGTAGCTTGCAGATATTTTTTCAGCATGTTTTAATGGCAGCACTGAGATTTAATCCCAGGGTGATCTAATTCTAGAACTGATGCTCTTAATCACAGTGCTAAAGTATTTAAATGTGGCCCTGGCCTGTTTGGCTCAGCGGTTAGAGCGTCAGCCCGCGGTCCAGAGAGACCTGGGTTCGGTTTCCACTAAGGGCACGTACCTCGGTTGCAGTTTGTCCCCAGCCCTGGTTGTGGTTGTGTGGGAGGCAGCCACTCGTGTTTCTTTCAGGTTGATATTTTTCTCTCTCTCTCTTCCTCTCTTTCCCTTCCACTCTATCTGAGCAAAAATGGAAAAATGTCCTCAAGTGAGGTTTAAATAAATAAATAAATAAATAAAGTATTTAATTGTGTACATTTCAGTTATAAGTCTTAGATTCTGGGGTTTGAAGAGAATACTAAGGTTAAATTGCTATTTTTAGTTCCAGATATCCTATGTATTCTATTAAGAATGAAAAACAGTTGACCCTTGAACAGCATGGGGGTTAGGGACACTGACCCCCTGCATTTGAAAATCCATAGAGCTTTTGACTCCCCCAAAACTTAACCACTATATAAATTTCTTGGAAAAAGGGGTGGGGGGGAATATGGATTTTATTTCTTCAGACTTTTAGGAGTTGTAACTAACTATTTAAAGACCATCTAAAAAATTTGATTGTTTTGTCTTAACATAGCATTGGATACCCTTGGAAGAGGAGATTGTTTAAGAGTCATACTGTGGAGGTGGGGGCTGAGTGGAGAGTGGGAATAGGGGCCATCTGTAATAATGTCAATAAAAAATAAACTGTAAAAAAAGTCATACTCTGTCATAAACTTTACTGGCTGACAGTTTCACTTACTTGATCATTTGCATTAAGGTACTGTAATAGTCACACTAAATTCTATCAGAGTGTTTTTATTGTTGTTTTTGGGGTTTTTTTGGGTTAATCCTTACCTGAGGATATTTTTCCATTGATTTTTAGATAGAGTGGAAGGGAGGGAGAAAGAGAAACATCGATGTAAGAGAGACACATCGATTAGTTGCCTCTCAAACAGCCCCGACCAGGGCCAGGGATTAAACCTGCAACCCAGATATGTGCCCTTGACTGGGAATTGAACCTGTAATCCTGCGGTCCATGGGCCAACACTCTAACTGCTGAGCCTAATAGGCCAGGGGTCTATCAGAGTGTTTTTAAGGTCCAGCTATATTTCAATAAGCCATATTTTCAACAATTTGATAAATTCTGTGTATAGTTTATTTATTTTAACATGTTCTTATTGATTTTAGAGGGAGGAAGGGAGAGGGAAAGAGAGATAGAAACATTGATATAAGAAAGAAAAATCGGTCAGCTGTCTTCTGCACGCCCCCTACTGGGGTTTCAGCCTGAAACATGGGCATGTGCCCTGACCAGAATTGAATCAGGACCTCTCAGTCGAGGGGACAATGCTTAACTCACTGAGCCACACCAGTCTGACCTGTCTGTATAGTTTTAAAACCAGTCTTTCTCTGGCTAACTTTCTATTTAGATTTGTACTTAATTGAAAATAAATTAAGGTATCTGTGTAAAGACTTTTTTTTAAGAGCACATGGAATATTTCAAGTAGTGATAAACTAAATTAGTAGTTACAAACTAAATGCTAGGATTTAAACCAAGATATTGATACTTGAAAGTGTATGAGAATATTTGTCTTAAGATCCTCTTCTCACTGAGTGAGCCTCTAATCAAATTACTAAATACAGCCACAGTTATTTTACTATTATTATTTTTTAATCCTCACCCGAGGACATTTTTGCATTTATCTTCAGATAGAGTGGGAGGGAAAAAGGGAGGAAGAGAGAGAGAGAGAAACATTGATGTGAGAGAGAGACACCAAAAGGTCGCCACTCACATGACCCCAACCAGGGCTGGGGACAAACTGCAACCAAGGTACATGCCCTTAGTGGGGACTGAACCCGGGACTCTCTGGTCCACGGGCCAATGATCTAACCGCTGAGCCAAACCGGCCAGGGTGAGGCCACTTTAAATATCAGAGTTGCTTTCTAACTAACTTAATGAAACTCGCTTTGAACTTATCAGTGTTTTACTACTAATGCAATTCTTCCATCTCCTCTTCCTTTTGTTTAGGCAACAGTAACCAGTGTCTTGGAATATCTGAGTAATTGGTTTGGAGAAAGAGACTTTACTCCGGAATTGGTAGTGTTACTTCTTTTTATTTTCATAACTCAGACAAAATTATATATACTTATATATGAGCAAGGACTCTACAATATTTATTGATATGTATGTATTGTACATTTTTTTTTTTTTTTTGCCTAACTCAGAGAGAAGAACTTCCTGTATTATACTCTAATTCTTTTTTTTTTTTCCATTTTTTGTATAGATAGAGTGGGAAGGAGAGAGAGGAAGGGGGAGAGAGAGAGAAACATCGACGTGAAGGGACACATCGAGTGGCTGCCACCCGCACGACCAACCAGGGCCGGGGACAAACTGCAACCGAAGTACGTGCCCTTAGCGGGAACCGAACCCGGGTCTCTCCGGACCGCAGGCCAACGCTCTAACCGCTGAGCCAAACTGGCCAGGGCTATATTGTACATTTTAGTATAACTATGTATAATGCAAATTATGCTTATTGACAGTGAAATAAGTAACATTAGAATATAAATCAACATACTGCTTTATTCATTGAGAAAGTCTTGCTTTGGAGGAAACAGCTGTGTACACTAAGCAGTTGATTTTTATCCTGGGACAAGATGCTTATCTTACCACAGACCAGTAATGAACAGGGCATAGACTAGCAACCAATCTGCAGACCCCATTTTGAGTGGCACTGGCTTAAAGAAGTTTGAAATGCATTTTCTGAAATCTGACTTGCAAAAACGTATCAGAAATAACAACAATAATAGCACTTTTTGCCAGATGGTGTTCTAAAGACTTTGTATATAATAACTCCTTGAATCCTCTGAATAACCTATCACCTATTACTATTTCCGTTTTATAGATATGAAACTGGAGCAGATAGGGATTCAGTAACTTGCTTAAGGTCACACAGATTGTAACTGGTAGAACTGAGATCATGCCCAAGCTATCTGACTATACTCTTAAGAACTATGCTACACTAGCTCTCTATTTTATTGCTTTATATTCACAGTTTTTTTTTTTTACCTGCAAATTTGGATAAATTTGGTAGACATTATATAAATCATCTATTTAATCCTCTGATAAGTTTTACCATCTAAAGTTAGATTTTTTATTTATTTAAAAAAGTTTTTATTGATTTTTTTTTAGAGAGAGAGTAAGGGAGGGAGACATAGAAACATCGATGTGAGAGAAATATGTGGATCAGCTGCCTCCAGCACGCCACCTACTGGGGATCAAGCCCGCAACCCTGGGCATGTGCCCTGACCGGAATAAAACTGGGACCTCTCACTCCATGGAACAATGTTCAGTCCACTGAGCCACACCAGCTGGGCTGAAGTTAGATTTAATTTTTAGAAACAAATATTTTTCACAGTTTAAGATATTTGCAAAAGTGTATATCTGAGGTTCCAAAGCTCCCTGTCAAAACATAAGATAATAATCTTTGCCCTCCAGAAGCTTATAGTCTGCTGGGAGAAACACATAAATCAACATGCAGTACAGTGTGTAAGTTTCCCAGCCGGACATTCAGCCAAGTTGCTTAGAAAATTCTCTTCCATAAGTATAATGACCATATTCTTTATCACTAGATTTTTCAGTTTAAATTTTTATGTTTTCTTTCTTTTAAATCTCTATTATATAACGTGTACTTTTTTTTTTTTTTTTTTTTTTATCCTCACCAGAGGACATTTTTCAGGTAGAGTGGGAGGGAGAGAGAGGAACAGAGAGAGAGAGAGAAACATCGATGTGAAAGGAACACATCGAGTGGCTGCCACCCACACGACCAACCAGGGCCGGGGACAAACTACAACCGAGGTACGTGCCCTTAGCGGGAACCGAACCCGGGTCTCTCCGGACCGCAGGCCGACGCTCTAACCGCTGAGCCAAACCGGCCAGGGCAACGTGTACTTTTTAAGGGAAAAATTTCACGTGTAAAATCACTGTTTCTGATTCAGTGGTCCTATGTGTCTTTTACATAGTTATAATGTGTGTGTGTGTGTGTTTTGTTTTGTTTTTCTGGCTACATTTAATATATGTATTTCTGTATGATAATGTAATTCACATAATTGCCATTGTCTTAGTATCTCATAATCTGCATTGATTCATTATTGACCATTGGGTTCTTATATTTTACAGTCATGAATAAAATATAAATATTTACATTAACTTCTTAGGATATTTCTAGAGTAAAATGATTGGATCTGGGTTTCATAAGCCTTTGTTACATTCCGCCAGATTACTTTCCAGAAGAGATTAATGATATGGGTACTTTAAGTTAGTTCTTTTCCCTGTCATTTTTTGTAGGTTAAAAACATTTGATTATCACTAATTCCATATGGTGGTTCAATTTAACATTTTCTAATCTGTATTTTTCAAACTTAGTGAAATTATAGTAATACTTAGAGTAAATGTAATATACATTTCTTTCAATACCAGTGAAGCAGAATATTTTTCCCATGCATTGGTATATTAGCTATACTGTCAATAGATAACTTTGTTCATATTAGGCTACTTATTCATTGGAATCTAGATAGTGAACTTTAAATTTTATATCAGTTCTTTCTGTCTGATAGTGACCCTTTATCAGTATTACTTACCTGTTTTCCTTATCTTCCTTTAATATTTATTTTTTAACTTTGTAAGATTTTTAAAAATTATTTTATTGATTTTTAGAGAGGAAGGGAGAGGGAGAGAAGTAGAAACATCCATGCAAGAGTGAAACATTAATCAGCTGCCCCGTGCATGCCTCATACCCAGGCATGTGGCCCAACCCAGAATCAAACCGGCAACCTTTTGGTGCATGGGACTGCGCCCAACCAACTGAGCCACACTGGCCAGGGCTGTTGTAAGATTTTAAAAACTTATAAAGGTTACTCACTCAAGAGGGTTATAAATTAATTTAGCTTTTCCTATTAATTACTAAAAGCATATTACCAAAAAGTATAGCTATATTTGCCAGAGGAACCATTAAAGTGTTTATGAACCACTGATAACTGATTTACTAAATTTTAACCAGATTAATATTTTGAGTCTTCTTTTGAGTAACCTGTTCAAGTCCCCTATCCAAATAACCATAACATCACAACTCTAGTATTGAGAATGTCAGTGTTTAAAGTAAAAACCTTTGTCACAGGAAGTTTTCATACCGTAAACTAGCAAAAGGAAAAAGGAACCTTTATAAAATTTCTTTATGTGGTAGTACTTGTCTAATTGTTTTATGAGAAATATAGCCTTATTTGTCATCTAAGTGAGAAGCTATTAAGGAAGCTTTTTGACTACTTGGTTTTGGATTTTGCTTTTATTTTTTAGTATTGTTGGTGTACTCACTAACTTTGAGGAAAGGAACCTTTCAGCATAGTTACATCTTAGTCAGTGATTTAAGCAACTTCTAAGTGTAGAGGCCATTTGAATACCTGAATACTAGCTTTACATAGAAAATGTATGCCTGAAAATTTGAGTTAAGTTGAAATGTGTAATAGCTTTCATGTAGAAGAAAATTTTGCTCATTATTTATAAAAGAAACCTGGACACTGATCTTTGTGTTTAAGAAAAATTTTTACTGATTTGTGGTTCCTTGAGGAACTAACCTTGTGTGTTGCATAAACTGGTATTTCAAGTTTGTTCTCATACTCTTCAGGTTTCTTCAAAATGATGTATTGCTCAGAATAAACTCAGTCATATATACTACTGATGAAAATATAATTTGATGTACCCTTTCTGGGGTACAATTTAGTGATTATATCTCAGAAACTTATGACTATATATACCCTTTGACATCACCATTTTATTTCTAGTAATTTAGCCCAAGAAATCAATCAGAGAGCTCTAAAACATATTCAAGGATATTTATCATGCTTTTTTTTTTTTTAAATATGTTTATATTGTCTGGCTGGTGTGGCTCAGTGGTTGGGCGTCGACCCATGCACCAAGAGGTCACTGGTTCGATTCTCGGTCAGGACACATGTCCAGGTTGTGGGTCCGATCCCCAGTAGAGGGCATGCAGGAGGCGGCCAATCAATGTTCTCTCTTATTGATGTTTCTATCTCTCTCTCCCTCTCACTTCCTCTCCCTCTAAAATCAATAAAGGGAAAAACAGTGTTTATATTGATTGTTTTTAGAGAGAGAGATAGAAACATTGATGTGAGAGAAGCATCAGTCGGCTGCCTCCTGCATGCCTCCTACCGAGGATGGAGCCTGCAACCGAGTCATGTGCCCTGACCAGGAACTGAAGTGGAACCTCTCAGTCTATAGGATGATGCTCAATCCACTGAGCCACAGGGGCCAGGCTATAGCACTATTTTTTATATAACACTAACAAATTAAACATCCTAAGTGCTCAATAGTAGGAAATTGGCTAGGTAAATTATGGTACATCCACAATGGAATGTTCATTCCACAAATATTTTAATTAAGCTCCTATTGTTTTTTAACCCTAGTCTGGGTACTGGGGTTATAATGTCTATCATTATACTCTCACAGAATCTAGGTAAAGAAAAAATAAACCAGTAGTGACAAGAAAGTCTGATAGGTGTTTGGTTAGAGTATTTCTATTAAAGCCATGCTGAGACTAATAACATCTCTTGTTAATCCAATTTAACATCATAGGAAATATGTATTGCAAGTAAAAAAAGATAGCTACAAAATGTTATTACCTTATTGTTACAGTGATGAAATTTTATTTTTTAAAGCTTTGTGTCTACATAGGAAAAAGGTAAACATTTTAAGAATTAGCAGAAAATTTATCAGGACAATGAGATTTCAGGTTCATTTTTTCTTTGTGCTTTTTGTTGTTGTTGTTGTTGTTTTGGTGGTACGTGTCCGCAGCAGAAATCAAACCCAGGGCTCTCTGGTCCGCAGGCCGACACTCAGCCACTGAGCCAAACTAGCCAGGGCTCTTTGTGCTTTTTGTATTCTATAGTTTTCCTGCATTAAGTATTTGTAATTAAAAAGAAAAACCCGTTTTAAAAGGAGATGGGGATTGCCCTGGCTGGTTTTGCTCAGCAGTTAGAGCGTCAGCCTGAGGACCAGAGAGTCATCGGTTCAGTTCTAGTCAAGGGCAGGTACCTCGGTTGCAGTTCAGTTCCTGGCCCTGGTCGGGTCATTCGGGAGGCAACCAATTGATGTTTTTCTCTCTCTCCCACTCTATCTGAAGATTAAATAAATAAATAAATAAATAAATAACAAAATAAGAGGAGATGGGGATAAATTTAGATTGCCATGGTATTTATAGAAGTATCAAAACATTATTTCATCTAGAATATAGATCCTTTGTGTAGACCCAGGGGACAACGTTATAAAATGATAATGATTTGTATATCAGTCTAAAGGGCAAAGAAAAATACGTATCTTAATTTTTGAAGAATTTGTTATACACATCATAATGCAGTGTTCTACCTATGATTTAGGACTATAATTGTAATAAGAATCTCTGAAATGAACACTTTTTGGGGTAAGATTATTTTGAAGTATCTGATATTCTGTGTCTATAGTTAGAAGATACAAAAGATATTCCCTGTCTATCTAAATGACCCTGTGTTATCTATATTCAAATATAATATAGTTAAGTGTTCTGTTAAATGTATGAAAGTATCCATAGCAAATAACCAGGCACAATTTTGGACATTTAAAAAAATGAGTTAAAACATGATGGTGCAAAAGGAGAAACATCTGTAACAAAAATAAATTAATAAAAATTGGAAGAAGAATTAAAAAAACATGATGGTGCAATATTTCTCTACTGATTACTTTTTAAAATTCTATTTAGGGAAGATGGCTTTATGCTTTATTGGCCTGTCTCGAAAAACCTTTATTACCTGAGGCTCATTCACTGATTCGGCAGCTTGCAAGGAGATGCTCTGAAGTGAGGCTCTTAGTGGTAAGTTGCAATATGGTGATACAGAATTCAGTGAAATAAGAAAACGTGGAATATTTTATTAGGACTAGATTTGGCCACATAATGGAAAAGCCCCACATAACAGTAGCTTAATTAAAAGAGAACTTTTTCTTAAAGTCTGAAGGTAGGCTGATCAAATTTAGGATGGCATTAACCCAGGCCTTTGAACTCTGCCACCTGTGGCTTCATCCTCAGCTCACCTCACCATCCAAGGTGGCCACTGGAACCTCAGCCATTGTGTTTCATTATAAGCAGTTGGAAAGAAGAGGCCACCATCCTCTTTAAGAGCCTTCCCAGGGGTTCCACAGTACATCTGGCTATGTGGCTCATTGGCCAGAATTTAGTCACATGGCCATAAGAAACTATGGGAAGTGTTTACTTTTAGCTAGTGGCAGTGCGCTTAGCTAAAAATGAGCTTTATGGTAGGGGAGATAAGAAGCTGGAGTGGTCACCTAGCAGTCCCTGGCCCAATGATTGATTTAAATTTCTCCCATTAGACTCTATTTTTTTTTTTTAATACATTTTAATTTCTGGAGTTCCCCTCATTGTTCTTCCTCTTTACAATTTCCTGGCATTTTTGAGTGTTTTCATTCTTCCAGATGAATGTAATATTTCTGGCAGAGTCCGCCCAATACCACTGTCATTTTTATTGAAAGAATTAAAGTGTTTTATGATGTTGAATCTTCCTACTCATGAACGAGGTATATAATGCATCCAACTGTATAATCACTTTCTTTTTTTTTTTTTTTATCCTCACTCGAGGACATTTTTCGATATTTTGTTCAGATAGAGTAGGAGGGAGGGAGGGAGGGAGGGAGGGAGGGAGAGAGAGAGAGAGAGAGAGAGAGAAACATCGACGTGAAAGGGACACATCGAGTGGCTGCCACCCGCATGAACCCAACCAGGGCCGGAGACAAACTGCAACCGAGGTACGTGCCCTTAGCGGGAATCGAACCCGGGTCTCTCTGGACCGCAGGCCAGTGCTCTAACTGCTGAGCAAAACCGGCCAGGGCTAGACTCTTTTTTTTTTAATCCTCACACGAGGACATTTTTCGATTTTTTTGTTCAGATAGAGTAGGAGGGAGAGAGAGAGAGAGAAAGAGAAACATCGACGTGACAGGGACACATCGACCCAACCAGGGCCAGGGACAAACTGCAACCGAGGTACGTGCCCTTAGCGGGAACCGAACCCAGGTCTCTCTGGACTGCAGGCCAACGCTCTAACCGCTGAGCCAGACTGGCCAGGGCTCCCATTAGTCTCTAACTCATGCATGTAGCATTACAATAAAAATTAATTTAAAGCCCAATTAAGCCCACTTCTGATTTTTTTTCCATCCTTTCTTTTCCCTCCACAAAATGCAAACTTGTTCTCTGTTGGCTGCTCAAAAATACTTTCATTGGACTACCATGATGTGGCCCAAAATAATCTAATGATCTGCACTCCAAGGCAAATGTACTTGATACTCACTAAATATTCCCCATGCTTTGTTCCTAGACTCTATTTCCTCTGCAGAAGAGCCTTTCACTCTCTTCCAATCTGTATCTAAATATTTTTTTCACAATCTGGCTCATATTCCACCATTTTCTATGACATTTTCCCTGATACTAACAATTAAAAAGAAGTTCGCCATCCTCTATTTTCCTAGTATACTTTGTATCTTTTTTATGGCACTTCATACATTTTTTCCTTTCATTAAAACTATTTTGTGGATATTTATTTCATCTTCTGTGTTGTTAGAGGTTATTATGTCTTATTCAGCTTTGTCGCCTATAGTGCTTGGCACATAGAAGAATTGAATACAGTAACATCATGTATTGTTTGAATTAATATATGACATGTCTGTTTATAACAATACTCAATAGGTTATTGTGACAATTGCTTGAAATGTATAAAAATAAATTTTATACTCTGTAAGACTACTCTCCATGTGACTTAGGTCTATCATTTTTAACAAATATTTAAAGTGAACTTTCTAAAATGTATAGTTCAGGAACTACTTACATCATAATTGAGAGCCCTGATCTGGAATATTTACGGGTATATCTTAATGCTAGAAGCCAGAATTTCACTCCTTCTCAATTGTAAGTTCTTTTTTTTTTTTTTTTTCACATCTTTATTGTTGGATGTAAAATGTATTACAGATGTTCCACATTTTCCCCCCATTGACCCCCTCCTCTCCACTCCCGCCCCCCTCCCACCTTTTCCCAAACTATTGTCCGTGTCCATTGGTTATGCATATAAGTTCTTTGGTTTATCTCTTCCCACCCCCCCAACCCCTTTCCCTTTGAGGTTTGTCAGACTAGCAATGAATTTGTGCTTCTTAATCCCTTCACCTTTTTCACCCATTCCCCCAACCCCCTTCCCAACTGGCAACCAACAAAATGTTCTCTGTATCTATGAGAATGTTTCTGTTCTACTTGTTCATTTTGTTTGTAGATTCCATTGTTGATAGATATGTATTCATTGCCATTTTGTTTGTTCATACATTTTATCTTTTTCTTCAAAAAGACCCTTCATCATTTCATATAATAACGGTTTGGTAGTGATGAACTCCTTTAACTTTTTCTTGTCTGGGAAAGTTTTTATATGTCCATCGATTCTAAATGACAGCTTTGCAGGATAGAGTAATTTTGGTTGTAGGTTCTTGGTTTTCATCACTCTGAATATTTCTTGCCACTCCCTTCTGGCCTGCAAAGTTTCTTTTGAGAAATCAGCTGACAGCCTAATGGGTACTCCCTTGTAGGTAACTAACTGCCTTTCTCTTGCTGCTTTTAAGATTCTCTCTTTGTCTTGAACCTTTTGCATTTTGATGATGATGTGTCTTGGTGTGGGCCTCTTGGGGTTCATATTGTTTGGGACTCTCTGTGCTTCCTGGACTTGTATGTCTGTTTCCTTCACCAAGTTAGGAAAGTTTTCTGCCATTATTGTTTCAAACAGGTTTTCGATTTCTTGTTCTCGCTCTTCTCCTTCCGGCACCCCCAAGATGCGAATGGTGGCACGCTTGAAGTTGTCCCAGAGGCTCCTTACACTATCCTCATTGTTTTGGATTCTTTTTTCTTTTTGCTGTTCTGATTGGGCGTTTTTTGCTTCCTTATATTCCAAATCGATGGTTTGCTCCCTGGATTTACGTACTCTATTATTGAAGCTATGTAAATTATTCTTTATTTCAGTTAAAGCCTCCTTCGTTTCTAACTGTGCATCGATCATTTCTGACTGGTCCTTTTTTATGCTCTTGAGGCCCTCACTGAGTTCATTGAGCATCCTTATAAGCAGTATTTTGAACTCAGCATCTGTTAGGTTGCTTATCTCCATTTCGCTTAGTTCTTTTCTTGGGGTTTTGTTCTGTTCTTTCATTTGGGACCTGTTTCTTTGTATCCTCATTTTGGCTGCCTCCCTGTGTTTGTTTCTGTGTATTACTTAATGAGAGGTATGGGGCTCGCTGAGACCTGATGCTGCTCGTTTGAAAGAATTTAGGAAAAACCTGAAGCAGGATCCAAGACAGGCCAATCCTATGGTTAAGCAAGTGGCAACAGCTTGGGTGGGCTTGAAAGTTGGGCGGGGCGGGGCAGGGCCTCAGGGAGTCAGGAGGGCGGGGCTACCAGTGTGAGTCAGGTTGCTGGAGTCCCAGATATGGCTTCTGTCTGCCGTTCCCGGGAAGGGCTCATCAAAGGAACAAAGGCCTCTTACAGCACGTTTGTCCCCGAGGAAGCCCCCTCTCCAGTGCCAAACAGCTCAGTTCTTCCCTGTATGTCTCTGGCGCCCCTCAAGCTGCCTCCCCTCCGAGCTTAGAGGGAGAGAGTCCGATAAGTCTGTGTGCGGGCCCTTTAGGGAGCTGCCTGGGGCTCCAGCCACCTCAGCTTCCCTGAGGCTCAGTTTCTGCTGGTTTTTCCAGCCAGAAGTTATGGGGACTTCTCTTCCTGGCACTGGAACCCTGTGCGGGGCACCTGGTGTGGGACGGGGGACCCCTCAGTCCTCAGGAAGGACCTTCCCAGCCGCAGGAGCCTCCTGATTTTTATCCGCCACACTTGGGTGTGGGACCAGCCCCTCGCGCCGCCGCCGCCCCCGCCCCTCCTACCAGTCTGGATGTAGCTGCTTTTTTTTTTTTAATTCCTTAGTTGTAGGACTTCCATTCAGCTTGATTTCAGGCGGTTTTGGATGATAGCTGTTCTGTAGTTTAGTTGTAACTTTGATGTGGTTGTGGGAGGACGCGATACGGCGTTTACCTACGCCGCCATCTTGACCGGAAGTGCTTTTTTCAATTGTAAGTTCTTTAAAATATTTTTATATACTTTTTTCATTACTGTCCAGTTGGGACATAGGTTTTGTTTGTTTGTTTGTTTTTTGCTGCTCTACTTGGAACTAGGAAAAAGGTCCTCCAGAGTTATTCTCCTTAGAACCCTCAGATCTTATTTCTTTTCCCTGTTAAGGATATTTCTTTTAAAGATGATCTTAGATGTTTCTTGAGGGATCATTAATTCTACAGTTTTCTCCTTTTTCTTTGAGGTTTCCTATTTCCATGTGATTCTTATTATCACCTAATAAAATGTTCATGTTTTGCATCTTAAAAGGAAATTTGTTTCAAAGATACTAGAGGGGAGCAGACTACATTTTGAGTTTTGCCACATGTGACTTCCTTCCTTCTTTTTCTTTTTTTTTAGGACAGCAAAGATGATGAGAGGGTTCCTGCTTTGAATTTATTAATCTGCTTGGTTAGCAGGTAAGTAGTCTTTGGCTTCTTACTTTGTAATAGTATTATTAATGGTGGTATTGTTCAGGTTTTACAATAGAGGAAATTGAGGTGTAAGGAAGCATAGTATAATATGTATCACAATTTTCTTAGTTTTTTTTCTGTAAATAATGCTGCAGTGAACATCCTTATACATACAGCTCCATTATTTCCTGAGGTTCAAGTCCTAGAAATAAGTCAAAGGGCATGTACAGGCATGCACTGCTTAACGATGGTGACACCTTCTGAGAAATGCATCATTATGCAATTTCATCATTGTGGGGACATCTTAGAGTGTAGTAGTACAAACCTAGATGATGTAGCCTACTACATACCTAGGCTGTATGCTACACCACTGCCATGTATGCAATGTCGTTGACTGAAACATCATTATTTTGGTGCATGACTATATTTTTTAAACTGAAATTTTTTGCCACTTTGCCTTCCAGAAAGTGCATGCCATTCTGCATTCCCACTGAAGTGTCAGTGACAGTGCCCATCTCCTAGTCAACACTGGGCATTTTCAGTTGATATAAATGTTTTCATTCTAATATTTTTAAGATGCAGTAAATTTATTTTTATTTGTATTTGTTTACCAGTGACAGTAGAACAGGTTTCATTTTATTGCAATTGTATTTTTTTAAATTACCTGTGTCCTTTGTTCATTTTCATTTGGGGCATATTTTTATTTTTTATGTGTTTGATTTCATTTCTTACAATGAATTTCCACCTGGAATTTACTTGAAAACTGTTTCATAGTCTAAATTCTTGTGTCTGTTTATTTACTTACACATTTATACACACTACACACGCACACACATTTATGTCTCTTACTGGACTAAATATTTGTGTTCCACTGGTCAGTGTTTTTATTCTAATGCCAATACCTTTTCTTTTCTTTAACTCATCTTTATTGTTGAATGTATTACAGATGTCCCCTCTCTTTTTCCCCACTGACCCCCTCCTCCCCAATCCTGCCCACCTCCTGCCTTTCTCACACTATGATCCGTGTCCATTAGTTATGCACATATGCATAGAAGTTCTTTGATTTATCTCATTCCACCCTCCCTCCCCCCTGCCAATACCTTTTTAAGGTTTATAATATATTTAAATACTGGGATGGTAAGTAATCCTGTGTACACTTTTCCCTCCCCAACACAGGACACTTTTTTAGAGTACACATATGTTCAACATCTAGTTTCTTGATCAACAGTTTTGCTGCTGGTGATAATTAACGCTTACTGGGCACTTGGTGACAAGCATTTTTCTTAGTGCTCCATAATAGGAACTCATTTAATTCTTAGAAGGTAGTTACTGTTATCAGTTTACAGATGAGGAAACAGTGGCAGAGAGAGGTTAAATAACTGTCCTACCATCACAAAACTAGTAAATGGCAGAGCAAGGATCCAAACCCAGGCAGCTTTGCTCCAGAGCTAAATTAAACTCTTAACTATGCTGATCACACAGTTAACACCTACCTCATCTGTCGGTTGTGAAGGTTAAAAGAAAGGGTGCAGCATTGTCTTAGGACTATATATGCTATATCTCTAATTCTTACACAATTTAGGTTTTTTTCGCCTTTTACACGGGTTCAGAATAATTAAGTAGTTGATGGCGCAGTAAACTAGTACTTGATGGAATCAGAGACTTAATCATATCATCTGCCAGCTAATCCACTGACATTTTATAATACTGTGCAGTTATGAGACACGACATATCCAGTCTTGGCCATGATTGTTACTTATCCCTCAAAAAGTTAGGTAAATGGAAAAAAGTTCTAGAGTAGGAAAGTTTCTGAGACATAGGCTTCACTCAGGATAATTTATAGATTATAGTAAGTTTGAAAAAAGATAACATGGGCCTTGACTCTGCAGTAGCAGCTTTAATATAAGTATCAGATATAAGTATCTTGTGTTTTTTATTGTTAGTTTTGTTTTGGTAGCTTTAAGGCAATAACTGATAAATATAGCAATAACTACTCAAATGAGTGGAATCCCATTTTACCCATGATAATTATTTTTTAAAGTTTATTGTGGAGATTGTCAAGCAAATATAAATGTAATAGAAAAAACTGATAAGCCCCCTCCTCACTGATCAATTCATCACCCAAGTTCAGCAATTATTAACTAATTATTAACTGTTCACCAAGATGTTTCATTTATTCCATCTTTTTTGTTAACATATTTTAAACAAATTTCGGACATGTCATTTCTTTTAGTATGTACCTGAGAAGAGCTTTTTAAAAACTTGATTGTAATACTACTACTACTACCTGGTAAATTCAGTAACTCTCACAGTATAATCTGATGTCTAATCCATGTTTCATATTCCCCAGTTGTCCCAAAAATGTCTTTTTAATTTTGAATTGTGTAAGATGCACTTGTTGCATTTGTTTGGTATCTCTTAAATCTCCCCACCAGCCTTCCTGGGGTTTTTTCCTTGTCATTTATTTGTTGAAGAAACTGGATTCTTTGATTTGTACAATTTCACATTTTGGTTTTGACAACTAAATCATCATGCAGTATTTAATGTGTTCATCTAGCCCCCATATTTTCTGTAAACTGGTAGGTAGGTCTAGGGAGGCTTGATTATATATAGTTTTTTGTCTGTCTGATAAGACTCTAAGGATGATGTCAGGAGGCACATAATGTCCAGTTATCCTACTTTTAGTGGTGATAAAGTTGATCACTGTGTTCAGGTAAAGTCCATGTCTCTTACCTGTTGGTTTTATCAGCTATTGATGATTGTTGAATATTTCATTAGGATTCTAAAATGCTGCTTTTTCTATTTATCTATAGCTAGAATTTTTTCTATAAAATATAACTTCCCTTTATCAATTTGGTTACCCTGAGATATAGTCCCTCCCCTGCCACCCCCCACACACACACCCCCAAAAAACAGGATGCTGGCTAGATTTTTTCCTCTTATTTACTAATATTTGGATTAATGAAGTTTTGGCCTAGCAGTCCCCAAAGATGACCAATACAGTTGTTTCTGTTTGGGGGATTATTGGTTTGAGTTTAGGTGTTTTAACATTCGATATATTTCAATCCATTGCAATCATTCTTTTTGATGCTCAAATTGCTCCATCTTTGACTAATGGGAGCCCGTCAGGTCAATTACTATACCTTTTGCCATATAATCCTAGTGGTCTTTTATGGTTTTCTTACTTCATAGTATGTCAAGATAATTCATATATATCTTGAACATTTCTGGATCTGGATCTGGATCTAGAAGTAGTCTTTTCTCCTGGGAGTGCTGGTTCTTCTTTTCAAGTAGAAGATGGTATTTAGAGTCTACAATTTGGACATTAGAAAACTAGTTGTTATTAGGTTGGTCAGTATTGAGTCCTTTTCAGTGAACAGAGCTAGGAACTAGGTATTATTTAGAAAGAGAAAAATAATAATCATGAGTTCAAATTGATATTTCAGTTCTAATTTAAGATTATGAGGGTTTTCTTTAATATTTCTTTTCTCCTATGCTAAGAATTCTAGTTTCTAACAATATTAATATAATTATTGCTTTATCCTGTAGTATGCACATAATAGTTTCAGGATACTACTACTGCCAATGTCACTGACAGTAAAAATATTGAAATCATTTTAGGAATGCTTTGTAGTTCTTTGTCCCTGGCATATCTTACTAGGAATATATATCAGTATACCATATTTAAGGTCACTTGAAAATATTCTACTCTGTGTGGTTATGCCACCAACTTGATATATGGGAAGATTCATTTTGTGGAGTTTGATTCATGATTTTCTTTTTATTTAATCTTGTTTAATACATAAAATATTTATATTTTTCCAAAATTAAAATAATTCAATGTACATTTGGAATATTTTAGAATCCATTTTTAGCCTCTCTAGCCTCTTCTCTCTGCTGTATTTATCCATTTTATTATTAATTTTTGGTTTATCCTTCCACTTGCTGTTTCTTTTTAAAATTATATATATATCTGCATTCCTACACATGCTTACATACTAAACGTACCATTCTGTACCATTTTTTCACTTAATAAATCCTGGAAGTCATGCTGTAGCAGTGTAGATACTTTCCTCATTTCTTTTTTTTTCTTTCTTGATTTTAGAAAGAGAGGAAGGGAGGAGAGAGAGATAGAAACATCAATGAGAGAGAACACTGAATGGCCGCCTCCTGCATGCACCCACTGGAGATCAGGACCACAACCTGGGCATGTGCCCTAACCGGGAATTGAACTGGCAACCTCTTGGTGCATGGGTTGATGCTCAACCACTGCGCCACACCGGCTGGGCTCCTCATTTCTTTCTTGTAAAAACTTCATGTCTTCCATGTGTAGATATACTGTAGTTTATTCACATAGTCCCTATTGTTAGACATTTGGGTTGTTTGTGGTCTTCTGGTATTATTTTAAGTAGTGCTGCAATTAATGTCTTTAAGCATACATTCAATTATTTCTTTACTAGGTATTTTGACCAACGTGATTTAGCTGATGAGCCATCATGATGTAGCTGATGTCTCAGGGATAGAAGATACTTGTGATGAAGGCAGCCTGTCCGAGGAAGTACAATGCCAATTCAAGTGCAGAGTGCATCACATTTTCAAAATTATGTAAGGGGTCTTCATCTTAACCTGTGCAACTGAAGTTGATATGCAATGTAGAGTGTATGGATTTGAACATCTGAAGTATCTTTGGGTAATCCCACCTAATTTCTGATGAACAGTTTTCTATTATTATGTACAAAACTGTATGATGAAATTTTACAAATGTCCTTGGTGCTGCTTCATTGTTTATTTAGATAGACACATAAAATTTTATTTAAAGTATATTTTGGTTACAGAAATTTTGTTTGAGCCCTGGCCAGTCTGGCTCAGCAGTTAAGAGTGTCAGCCTACGGACCAAAAGGTCACAGGTTTGATTCCCCGACAAGGGCATGTACCTGGGTTGCAGGTTTGATCTCTGTCCCTGGTTGGGTTCAGGCAGAAGGCAACCAATCAGTGTGTCTCTCTCACATTAGTGTTTCTCTCTCTCTCTCTTTCTCCCTTCCTCCCTTCCATTCTATCTAAAAATAAATAAATAATAAATAAATGGAAAAAAATATTCTCAGGTGAGGATTAACAACAACAAAAAAATTTGTTTGACACTTGAACAAAACACAATGGAGAGATGTTCTTAGAATTAAAAATCTAGTTTAAATGGCAGATATGTTCATAGCAATAAAATTAATTAAAAGGTTTTGCTTTAAGCTCAGTACTTTTATTTAAATGCTTTATTGCACAAAACTTTTGTTAACAAATTATCTTTAATAGTACCCTAATAGGTTCACTGCTTTATTATTTCTGTCAAATCATCTGTTCATATATATTTATCAGGTAGAAATGTTTTCTACTTTAAGTAACAGAAAATCCTAGTGGTAATGGTTCTTCAAATAGGGGTTTATTTTTCTCACAAAACAAGAAGTGTAGAGGAGCTGGCTACTAGCATTGGTTGTGACTCCATGATACCAAGGTCTCTGATTCTTTTGGCCTTTCCCTCATGGTAACAAGATGGCCACTGCAGTTCAAGGCTGTGTGTCTATTTTCAAAACTGGAAAAGGGGAGAAGGAGGCAGAGCCTTTCACATCAGATTCTTTCTCACACAAGCAAAACCTCCAGAAATCCACGGTAGGTTTGTGGTCATCTCTCTCTTTTTTTTTAACGTATCTTTATTGTTTGAATGTATTACAGATGTTCCTCCTTTTTCCCCTATTGACCCCCTCCTCCCTGCTCCTGCCCCACTCCTGCCTTTCCCCACACTGTTGTTTGTGTCCATTGGTTATGCACATATGCATGTAAGTTCTTTGGTTTATTTCTTCCCACCCCTCACCACCTTTCCCTTTGAATTTTGTGAGTCTAATAACCAGTTTGTATTTCTTAATTCCTTCACCTTTTTCACCCATTCCCCCAACTCCCCTCCAATGTTCTCTGTATCAATGAGAATGCTTCTGTTCTGCTTGTTCATTTTGTTTTTAGAGTCAGTTATCGATAGATATTTATTGCCATTTTATTTGTTCATATTTTTTATCTTTTTCTTCAAGAAGACCCTTCAACATTTCATATAATAATGGTTTGGTGGTGATGAACTCCTTTAGCTTTATCTTGTCTGGGTAACTTTATATGGCCATCAATTCTAAATAACAGCTTTGCAGGATAGAGTAATCTTGGTTGTAGGTTCTTGCTTTTCATCACTCTGAATATTTCTTGCTACTCCCTTCTGGCCTGCAAAATTTCTTTTGAGAAATCAGCTGACAGTCTTCTGGGAACTCCCTTGTAGGTAACTAACTGCTTTTCTCTTGCTACTTTTAAGATTCTCTCTTTGGCCCGGCCGGTGTTGCTCAGTGGTTGAGCGTTGACCCATGCACCTAGAGGTCGCCGGTTTGATTCCCAGTCAGGGCACATGCCCAGGATGTGGGCCGAATCCCCAGTGGGGGTCATGCAGGAGGCGGCCAGTCAATGTTCCCTCTCATCGATGTTTCTATCTCTCTCTCCCTCTCACTTCCTCTCTCTAAAATCAATAACAAAAAAATATTAAAAAAAAAAAATTCTTTGTCTTGAACCTTTTGCATTTTGATGATGATGTGTCTTGGTGTGGGCCTCTTGGGCTTCATCTTGTTTGGGACTCTCTGTGCTTCCTGGACTTGTATGTCTGTTTCCCTCACCAAGTTAGGGAAGTTTTCTGCCATTATTGTTTCAAATAGGTTTTCAATTTCTTGTTCTCTCTCTTCCCCTTCTGGCAACCCCAAGTAATGAATGTTGGTCTGCTTGAAGTTGTCCCAGAGGCTTCTTACACTATTCTTATTTTTTTTGATTCTTTGTTTTTTTTTTTTTTTTTTTTTTTTGCTGTTCTAATTGGGTGTTTTTTGCTTCCTTAGATTCCAAATCGATGATTTGCTTCTTGGCTTTACCTACTCTACTATTGAATCTGTGTAAATTATTCTTTATTTCAGTTAGTGCCTCCTTCATTTCTGACTGGTTCTTTTTTATGCTCTTGAGGCCCTCACTAAGTTTACTGAAATTCTCACTAAGTTTATTGAGCATCCTTACAAGCAGTGTTTTGAACTCTGCATCTGTTAGGTTGCTTATCTCCATTTCACTTAGTTCTTTTCCTGGAGTTTTGTTCTGTTCTTTCATTTGGGACCTGTTTCTTTGTTTCTTCATTTTGGCTACCACCTTGTGTTTGTTTCTATGTATTAGGTAGAATTGCTATGTCTCCTGTGCTTCCTAGGATGGCCTGTTATATAGTAGGTGTCCTGTAGGGTCCATGGCACAGTCTCCCTGATCTCCCAGCTGGGCCCTCGAGGTGCACCCCTTGTGTGGACTTTACACCCTTCTGTTGTAATTGAGTCTTGATTGCTGTTCACACACCAATGAGAGGGTTTTACTCAGGCTGATCAGCTGCAAGGACTGGCTGTGCTCACTATCCACTGACCTCTGGCTACCTTGCATGATCAGCTGTGCAGGAGCCCACTACACAGGCTGTGGCACCTACTGAGTCCATTCCTTGAGTGTGTCACTTATGGAGGTGGTTGGGTGGTGGTGCTTCACAATGTTCTGAAGCTGTCTACTGGATGTGCTGGCTCTGGGACCAGGCCAGCCATGGCCTGTGTTCTACCCGGGGCCACCAGGCATAAGCTACAAAGTGATCTGCCAATGGCTGCTGCTTGTGCTGGGCTTGGAGATGCCCAGGAAAAGCCAAGTTGTGATCCAAAGCTCACTGTTTCCAGTGCCAGGCCTAGGGCCACTTAACGAGAGGTATGGGGCTGGCTGAGACCAAATGCTGCTTGTTTGAAAGAATTTAGGAAAACCTGAAGCAGGATCCAAGACAGGCCAATCATATGGTAAAGCAACTGACAAGAGCTTGGGTGGGCCTGAAAGTTGGGTGGGGCAGGGCCTCAGGGAATCACTAGGGTGGGGCAAACAGTGTGAGTCAGGTTGCTGGAGTCCCAGATATGGCTGCAATCTGCCACCCCAGGGAAGGGCTCACCAAAGAACAAAGGCCTCTGACAGCATGTCTGTCCTGGAGAAAGCTGCCTCTCCAGCCCTCGCCCAGATGTCAAACAATTCAGTTCTTCCCCATATGTTTCTGGTGCCTTTCAAGCTGCCTCCCCCACGATGGAGCCTGGAGGGTGCCAGTCCAAGTAAGTCTGTGTGCGGGCCCTTTAGGAGGAGCTGCCTGGGGCTCCAGCAGCCTCTGCCTCCCTCAGCCTCCGTTCCCGCTGGTTTTACAGCCAGAAGTGATAGGGACTTCTCTCCTGGCACTGGAACCCTGAACTAGGCACCTGGTGTGGGACAGGGACCCTTCACTTCTCAGGGGGGACCTTCCCAGCTGAGGTGTCCCTCCTGATTTTTATCAGCCACACATGGATGTGGGACTAGCCCGTCCTCCGCCCCTCCTACCAGTCTGGATGTGGCTTCTTTAATTTCATAATTGTAGCACTTCCATTCAGCTTGATTGCAGGCCGTTTTGAATGATGGTTGTTCTGTAGTTTAGTTGTAACTTTGATGTGATTATGGGAGGACAAGATACTGCGTTTACCTACGCCACCATCTTGCCGTGTTCATCTCTTAGCCACAAGTTTATTATAAAGTCATCACCTCTAGAGTTCCAAGAAAGGTCAAGAAATGAAATTGTAAGCCTTTCCAGACTTTCTAATCGAGGTGGAAGTGGAAAAAGGAAATGAGGAATAACTGTAGATCAGGGAACCAATAATTTTGCCACTAGTTATAAGTAGAGCAGACATAATTTACATTTAAATCTTTTCTGTCTTCAGAAAGCTGATTTTTAAATGTCTAATTTGTTTTCAGTGGTAGTCCAATATAGAAAATGCTACCGTGGTCCTGGCCTGTTTTATTCAATGGTTAGCGTGTTGGCCCACAAACCAAAGGGTTGCGGATTCGATTCTCATCTGTTAATTCTGGAAAGTTCAGGGCTGGTAAAGCAACTCTATATCTTTTTATATATATATATATATATATATATATATATATATATATATGTGTGTGTGTGTGTGTGTATATATATATGTGTGTGTGTGTGTGTATATATATATATATACACATATATGAGTTTATTTGAGCCAAAACTAATGACAGTTACAGGGAAGCAAGATTTCAGTGTTTCCTGTAATATCTTAAATGTCCTGGGCTGCATCCAGATTTCAATTTTATCAATTTTAGTGTGTGCCTTTCATCTTTTCACTCATTATATGGTTGCTCTGTCTCTCGCCTCACATCTATATTCCAGGAGGGTTAAAAGGAACCATCCCTTCTTGTTGTCTATGTCAAAGAAGCAAAGCATTATAAGAAACCCTCAATTTACATAACATTTGCCAGACTTATGGCATTTTCTAATTATAAAGAAAACTGGAGCCCTGTCTGGTTTGGCTCAGCAGTTAGAGCGTCGGCCTGCAGACCATCGATGTTTCTCTCTCTCCTCCTCCCTTTCTCCCTCCCACTCTATCTAAAAGTCAATAAAAAATATCCTTGGGTGAGGATTAACATAAACAAAAAAGGTGGAAATAGAAATTTTTTAGCTGAGCACATTGCCATTCCTATCAAAAATGGGGTTCTGGCCCTCCTGGCCGATTTGGCTCAGTGGTTAGAGTGTTGGCCTGTGGTCCAGAGAAACCTAGGTTTGGTTCCCGCTAGGGGCAGGTACCTCAGTTGCAGTTTGTCCCCGGCCCTGGTTGGGTTGTGTGGGAGGCAGCCACTGGATGTGTCCCTTTCACGTCGATGTTTCTCTCTCCTTCCCAGTCTATCTGAACAAAAAATGGAAAAATGTCCTCAGGTGAGGGTTAAAAAAAAAGGGGGGTTCTGTTAGAATTCTAAGAGGGGAGAGTAGATATTGGATAGGCAGCCAGCACTGTCTATTACAGAGTTTAGATTTCCAACCTCTACCACAACCAGCTGTGTTATAGCCTCCTATTTTTTGTTGATTTGATGCTGGGAGGAGGGGGGTGCCTGGGGGTTGATTTGATAGAAGTAAAGTGTCAGTTGTTTTAATTTACATTTCTTCCAAACTAGTGGCTGAACATGTAGTTATGCACACTACTCACACAGAATAAAATTCCTGAGGACTGGACAGCATTAAAAAGAATTAAAAAGAAGGCAATTTTGCCATGTGCTGAAGACAAGTGGTAAAAATTATTTTAATGCAGTTACACTTCTATTTTCTAGCAAGCTGGAGGATTCTCAAATACGTAACTGAGAACCCATTTTTATAATAACTCAATTTGGCATAAGGATTTTTTTCAGGAATGCAGAGACAAATAAAAGTAACAGACATTTTAAGTTACTGATGTAATAAAAATAAAGTGTGCAGCCTACCACTATAGCCATATTGAGGTATTCACAATTAAAAGTATCTTCTGATTTTAATAAAAAACTGAAGAGAAAAAGTTCCCCAACTCTTAACAGGTAAAAAGCCTTAAGTTTGTTGAGAAATTATACATTTTAAAGATAGAATTTAGAAGTGATTATTTTGAAAATAATAGCTACCAAATGGTAGTTTAATCAGAACTGTGGGGCAGTGACAAAGTAAATTAGATTGCACCTGTATTTTTCTGTTCACATAAAAGATACATTACTTCTTTTGGTCAGGAGGATATTATACATTTACTAAATTGGGATAGTACTTTCATTAAAATTTTATTCATTTCTATTAATTTTTTAAAATGAGACAATTTCATCTGTGTCTCTTAGAATAAACCAATTATAAACTGGCTTATATTAAAATTGATTCAGATGATCAAATCCACTCTCTGGGACACAGAGAAAAATGTTTTATAGACCCTGACCAGGTAGATCAGTTGGTTAGAGCGTCATCCCAATATGGCAAGGTTGTAGGTTCCGGATCCCCAGTTGAGGCACATACAAGAATTAACCAGTGAATGCATGAATGGGTGGAACAACAAATTGATGCTTCTCTGCCTCCCTTCCTCTCTATAAATCAATAAATGTTTTTTAATTAAATCAAGTTTTAAAAAAAGAAATTATGTCAATTTGACTTCTGTCCATGCCACATTTTATTTTGCTACACATATTACCAATTCCCACCAAATTTCTAAAATAAATGTTTCCCAAATTACCCTGGAATGTTGATTTATTTGGGTTGTTAGTGTTTCTTGAAAAAATGGTGCTGTGATCAAATCCTAGGTTAAACAAAATTGTTTTTTCTCAGAACATGTAAACATGGAATTCATATCCATTAAAAATCTTTAAAAAAGGATGAGATTTCCAAAATAGATATGATCACAATACTCATTTTTCAGAGAACACTTTGAAAAACTTGTAGATTCTATCTACTTTCTTAACTTTATGACCCCAACATTTGTGCTGATCCCAGTCTGATGCCTGAGTTGAACTCCCAACCTACAGCTGTATTTTAGTCTGATTTGGAAATAATTCACCAGGTAACCTTGGCTGTGAGATTCTGCTTTCCCTTACTAACTACATGTCAGGTTCTGCTATGTACTAAATATTTGTGTCCCTGAAAATATATATGTTCACACCCTAACCCCCAAGGTGATAGAATAAGGAGGTAAAGTGATTATTAGTCCATAAGGGCAAAGCCCTCCTGAATGGGATTAGTGCGCTTATAAAAGAGACCCCAGAGAGTTAGCTAATCCCCTTAACTCCAAGTGAGGAGTTAAAAGATACCCCTCTGTGAACTAGAAAGCAGACCTTCATCACACACTGAATCTACCCTTCTACCCGTGGGTAAGAGTAAATAAGGGAATAAAGATAAAGTAAGACCCAGGCTGGGTAGCTCACTTGGTTAGAGTGTCATCTGGAAACACCAAGGTTGTGGGTTCAATTCTGGGTCAGGGCACATGCAAGAATCAATCAATGAATGCACAAATAAGTGGAAGAGCAAATCAGTGTTTCTCTCTCAAATCAATAAATAAAACAAAAACTGCCACCTCCCAATATGGAGTGGTCTGCCTTAAAAAAAAAAAAAAAAAAAAAGGAGGATAGAAACTTCATCAGCACTTCCACACACAGGGAGAAAAGCTGAAACTAACAGGAATACGTATAAAAATTCCTTCCTAAAATACTTAATATTCTTTGGCCCTGGAGTCACTGAATTTACATTTAAATTAATCTATATTTCACTTTTATTACATTGATGGATCTCTCCAGAACTGAATTCTATTAAAGTGAAATGTATTTGAGCAAACTTAGTCTGATATGACATCTCACACACATACACACTATATACAATGAAATCCTTATACAGGCATAAAAACCCCGAATAGAAATAAATTATAAGCAATAAAATAAAAATTAAGTCTAATTTAGTGTACCATCTGCATTTTTTAATAACTAAAACAATAAAACAATCAAAATTTGTTCATTCTTTACACAAATGATTCTGACTGGTACATACTTTTCTTTATGCTAATTTATCAAACCCTGAGTTTCACTTCCCCATCTGTGGTTAAATATACATCACTAAGCAAGTAGAAATGTTTAAAATAAGGATCCCACATCCTATCCTGGTATTTATTTTTTTGAAATCAGAATTTTTTTCATTCTGATAGTTTCCTTAAAGCGTATGTTATGGTAGAATGTCTCTTTATCTGCTTTCACTTGATCTATGTTAAATTGATAAAATACAACTTTAGTCCTGCTTAAGAATACATCTTTCATTATACAAGTTAGCAAATAACTTATATCAACATAAATGTCCAACAATGTAATTAAATCACTGCTACTTGAAAAACTTTATACATTAATAATTTAACTCTTTACACTGTTGAAGCCTTACATTTCAGTATGTCCTACAACTTCTGTATCATCACCTGAAATTTACCTAAAAAAAGAAAACATGAAAAATAATTTTGATTTTAAGAACAAATAAAACAAGTCTAAATATCAGTTGTCTGCTCTATTTAGAAAGTAGTTTTAATCAAGAAACTTATGTCAGACTCTTCACATTCTTCACAACTTTCAATAAAGTCAAGTCCATTTTTATGCTATGACTATCTGATTGGTGAATAAGTGCCTTTGTTTTCCTTTGTAATTCCTATATTTTGGGTATTTCACTGCTAATTAATGTGAATAGAAAGGAAATACAGTGAAGCTCAAGTCAATTTTATTGGTTGGTATCTCTGGGTAAAAAGATCTTTTGAAAGGAGTTTAGTGATAAAAGACCAGTGGTTTTTTCTAATTTAATATAATAAATATATTCTAGAAAACTTTAAAAATGCTATAGGGAAATTTGCTATCTGAAAAGAATACAACAGAAAAATTTTCCTTTGAAAGTTAAGAATCACACCAGGCTGGTGTGGCTCAGTTTATTGATCACTGTCCCATGGAGTGAGAGGTCCGGGTTTGATACCCAGCCAGAGCACATGCCTGGTTTTCTAGCTCAATCCCCAGTAGGGGGCATGCAGGAAGCAGCCAATCATTGTTTCTTCTCACACAGATGTTTCTCTCTCTCTAAAATATCAATTTAAAAAAAAAAACTTAAGCCCTGGCCGGTTTGACTCAGCAGTTAGAGCGTCGGCCTGTGGACCAATGAGTCATGGGTTCAATTCTGATCAAGGACACATACCAGTACCTCAGTTGCAGTTTGTCCCTGGCCCTAGTCGGGTCGTGTGGGAGGCAACCAGTCAATGGTCCCTATCACATCGATGTTTCTCTCCCCCCCCCATTCTATCTGAACAAAAATTGAAAAAAAAATGTCCTCGGGTGACGCTAAAAAATAAAAAAAGTTAAGAATCATCCCTTAGGTTGTCTAATAAATTTGGATTTCTTTAATACCTTTTCTTAAATTCAAAAATCACTGAAAATGAATGTAAGTGTGCTACATATTACTACATTAAATGTTAAACTTGGTCAAAGTAAAATAAATAGTTTGGGCATTTTAAATTTCCTCTAAATTAACAAAACAAAACAAAAAAACACCAAACCTAAAAAATAACAACTAAAAACATTTGTAAAAAATGTGAATTCAACTTACAGGCAGGCATTGAAGACACTTCAGCTGTTACAATACTTTTTATCCCCAAGTTTGATAAGCCACCTCTGATTAAGCCACATGTAAATGCTAAATACTGAAAGGAACAAAAAATGTAAAAAAAATATTAAGGATCTTAATATGATGAACATCTGTCTCCTATTTCATAGAAAAGTATTTAAACAAAAAAGAAATATGGTAAAACCTATTTTAAATTCAAGTCTGTTTGATTGGCACTGTACTTTTCCCTATAGTTCTACTCTTTTCATAATGAAAAACCTCAATCTTCTATTCTGTTACATACCTTAGATGCATGTTCTAAGTACTGTTTTCCTGCAGACATCTGAGTAAGCAGACGAAATTTGTTGTCCTGAAGTACATAGATGCCCTGTTCCAAAACAGAAAATACATCCAAAGTCAATGTAGTTTGCAGTCCTTAAAAAATAACATATTTTTGCCTAAACCAGTGGTTTGGTTGGTTGAGTGTTGTCCCATACACCAAAAGGTTGCTGATTCGATTCCTGGTCAGCATACAGCATACATGCCCAGGTTTCGGGCTTGATCTTCAACCAGTAAGGGATATGCAGGAGGCAGCAGATCAGTATCTCAATCGATGTCTTGCTCTCACATAGATGTTTCTCTCTATTCCTCTCTCTCTAAAAATCAATAAAAAATCTTTTAAAAAATTACCTCTTTAAAACAATTTAAGAGCATTCTAAGTTATTAAAACTCACTTTTCTATTGGTCAAATTTTCTTTATTTACTGATTGATTGATTTTAGAGAGAGGAAAGGGGAGAATGAGAGAGACATCAATTTGTTGTTCCACTTATTTATGCATTCATTGGTTGATTCTTGTGTGTACCCCGAATGGGGATCAAACTTGCAACCCTGATGTATAGATGATGCTCTAACCAAGTTACCTGGCAAGGGCCTCAAGTTGTCTTTAAGTGAAGGAGTTTTGCAATGTTGAAGCTCAAGAGTTATTCAACATTTTATAACACGAATATTTATTTAATACTTTAACATACTAAAGAGAGAAAGATGCATAAGACATAGTCTCTCTATCCTTAACTCACAGTCTAGTACAAAAGAATCACTTGTCCAGGTGAAATTAGCAGTTACTATATATGTTACTCATTCATATTTATGAGGCCAATAATCAGTCGCTTCTTACCATTAGTAATTTTAAGTTGATGATGTAATAAGAAAAAGTAAATTCTAGCTCTGACTGCTGAGCAGCAGTGAGAGCATCAGCCTGTGGATCGAAGGATCTCGGTTTCAATTCCCAGTCAAGGACACATACCTGGGTTGCACATTCAATCCCCGGCCTCAATCAGGGTCATGTGGGAGGCAGCCAATCAATGTGTCTCTCTCACATCATGCTTCTCCCTCCCTCCCTTCCACGCTATCTAAAAAGTGAGTGGAAAAAATATCCTCAGGTAAAGATTAACAAAATAAACAAACAAAATTCTATGGATAGTTACTAGATACATTCTTTTCAGTTTTTTTACACTTAATCAAAAGTTCAAGTCCACTTTACATATTTCCATGACTGGATTTTATCTTTTTTTTTTTAAATCCTCACCCAAGGACATTTTTGCATTTATCCTGAGATAGAGTGGAAGGGAGAAAGGGAGGAAGAGAGAGAAAAACACTGATGTGTGAGAGACACACCGACTGGTTGCCACCCACACGACACCAACCGGGTCTGAGGACAAACTGCAACTGAGATATGTGCACTTAGTGGGAACCGAACCCAGGACTCTCTGGTCCGCCAGCCGATGCTCTAACTGCTGAGCCAAACCAGCCAAGGCCCTGAGTGGATTTTAAATGTACCATTTTCCATGCACTCTATTAAACTTTTATAAATATTTTTGTTGATTTTAGAGAGAGGAAGGAAAAAGAAGAGAGAAATATCAGTCGGCTGCCTCCCACAAGCCCCCTACTGGGGGTCAAGCCCACAACTCAGGCCTGTGCCCTGACCGGGAATTGAAGGGCCAGGGCCATGCAATCTATACATTTTTATATTAACAAAACAGTTTAAAGAAAAAACATGACAGCAACTAAACATTATAAGACTTATTTAAGAGTTATTAAATATGCTCTATAAATTACACTTCGGAAATTACTCTAAACACATAACTGTGATATATTTGTGGTTTTTATTACCACTAAGTAATAATAACTAAGGAACAAAATCCTAAAACTTTTATCATTCTGACATTGCTACTTTTTAAAACTTAAAATAACTTATTTAATTGGGGGAAAGAAACAGCTACCATTACTGATCATTGCCCCTTTGTCTTTATTCACTATATCCTATTAGAGAAAAAAAAGTAATACTTTTCAATAACATATTTGAGAAACATTCCAAAGTTAACTAGAAATCATTTTAAGTTTTAAATAAGTAAATCACCAAAATAGGACATTTATATTAAGTTAAAGGACTTAAAATTAGGCCTTAATTTATCTAAATACCTGATGATTTGTCCTGAGATTGTCGATTTGTTTCTTGAATACTGTAGTCCAGAAATCTTTACAAATGAACTTCATGATATCTAACTCATCCTTGAACCTTGCAGTATCTTTTGTAAACCTAAAAAGATCAACTAGAAGTAATATAGTATTTTTCCTCCAAAGAAAGTAGATGGGGCAAATTGTTAACTAATTTTCAAATGCCAGAACCACACTGCATAGTGACAGTCATAAAGTGAAAAGCATCAAGCAAAGTAGATCCCATTTCAATGGATTCACATTCTTTTTTTTTTTTTTTTGTGGTACATGCCCCTAGTGGGAACCGAACCTGGGACTCTCTGGTCCGCAGGCTGACGCTCAACCGCTAAACCTAACTGGCCAGGGCTGGATTCACATTCTTTAATACAATTATGGGGCTAAAATTGGTCTAATAGTAGAGCCTAACAGTAAGCTGCAGTTTTAGGTACAATTCATTCTAGCACATCAAAAACAGCTGAGGATGACCATGGTATTATACAAAACAAAGTTCAGCTATTCAGAAAGTGAGAAAGGAATACTAAAAAGAATTGTTATATAAATTGGAAGATAAACTCTAAGGCATTTCCATCCCTATGCATTTCAACAAAATTACAGTTAGTTTTTAAAAAAAAAACTATTTTAGCCCTGGCCGGTTTGGCTCAGCGGTTAGAGCATCGGCCTGCAGTCCAGAGAGACCCGGGTTCAGTTCCCGCTAAGGGCATGTACCTTGGTTGCAGTTTGTCCCCCACCCTGGTTGGGTAGTGCAGGAGGCAGCCACTTGATGTGTCCCTTTCATGTCGATGTTTCTCGCTCTCTCTCTCTCCCTCCCACTCTACCTGAACAAAAAATGGAAAAATGTCCCCAGGTGAGGATAAAATAAATAAAAAACGATTTTAGATAGTTGTTTCAGTACCAAAGTTTTCAAGGAAAAAAAAGAATAAAATATATATTTTCTTCAAATATTAAAACATAAAAGTTGAATAACAGAAGACCTAAAAAGAAATTTCACTTTGAATTAAAAAACAGAAAGAATTAAAATTTGGGAATTAAAAATAAAGTATCTCAAGTTCTATGCAATCTTTTGAAATGGATCATCTTTGTTCATAACCTACCAGGAAGAAAATTTTCAAATCCCGACTGCTCACCTTTCTATCAATCCTTGTCCCACTCGAAACCCCATGTTTTCCAGCTTAGTAATACAGCGTCCATTTTCCTATTAAAAAAAAAGAATAGCTTTGAATACTTTTACAATGCCAGAATGCTGGTATTCAAAATTATTTTAAAATGTTGGCTAAAAAAATTAATGTAAAGATTTATACCTTCTTTATTGAAACATTACTAGAAAAAGTCAATTTTCTTAGTACTAGTCATTTTCTTAAGGCAATAACATAAATAGGGAACTGTTGCTTATTATCACTTTTCAGAAATGCCAAAGTCTCTCCCCTCACTCCACCCCCACCCCCACCCCCACAACATCTTCAACAATTCCTCTTTTCTCCTCAGTTATAAAACTTGGTATCAGGATCATTTGAGATCTTGCTTCTCAAGTTTTGACTGTCCTCAGTTTTTATTCCAATAAACATGAAATTCTCTAAAAAGATAAACAAAACTTGGTATCACCTTTGACTTTTTTCTGTCAGTCATTCACTTTGTGCTGTGACTAAGTTTTATTGTTCCTTGCTTCAAAAATTTCTTAGAGTTATCCAGGCTCTAGTTTTCAGTGTGTCTAAGTTGATGACCCCATCCTATGCCTGGAATCATGCAATTGTTTTGCTCTTCTTTTGACAAGTTCATCCAGTCTTTTTTGTTGTTGTTGTAAATCCTCAACCAAGGATATTTTTTCCATTGATTTTTAGAGAGAGTGGAGCGGGAGAGGGAGAGGGAGAGAGAAACATCAATGTGAGAGAGACATATCAATGGGTTGCCTCCAACACGTGCCCCAACTAGGGCTGGGGATCTAACCTGCAACCCAGGTACATGCCCTTGACAGGGAATCAAACACAGGACACTTTGGTGGTGTAAAGGCCAACACTCTAACCACTGAGAAACATGGCCAGAGCAAGTAAATCCAGTCTTAAGGTTTAAATTTTTTTTTTCTTTATTCATTTGATGAGAGAGAGAGAGAGAGAGAGAGAGAGAGAGAGAGAGAGAGGGAGGGAGAGAGAGGGAGGGAGACGGAAAAAGAAATAGAAACATCGATGAGACAGAACATCGACTGGCCACCTCCTCTATGCCCCCCACTGGAGATTGGTCCCACAACCTGGGCATGTGCCCTGACTGGGAATTGAACCCATGACCTGTTGGTACATAGGTCGACACTCAACCACTGAGCCACACCAGCCGGGCTAGTCTTAAGGTTTTAAATACTATCCCTAAGCTGAAGACTCCCCAAATCCTCTGGATGACTTATGAAGACCTATACAATCCAGACCCATGAACCTCTTGAACTTCAACCTTCTACTCTTCTTCACTCACTTGGCTTCAGCTGCACTGGTCTCCTTGCTGTCCTTAAACATGTCAGACATGTTCTTATCTCAGGGCTCTTGCATAGGCAGCTCTTCCTCCAGATATTCACAAGACCAACTCCCTTCTTTAAGTTTTTGCTCACATGTCACCTTCTCAAATGAGGCCCATTTTAACCATTTATTCAAAATGGCAGTATCATTCCCCTTCAGCAACTCTCTGTCCTAGGGATTTTCAAAATGTGATTTTTCAAGACCAGCAACACTGGCATCACATGGAAACCTCTAAAAATGATGAATTCTGTAATCCCACCCCCAACTTGAATCAGAAACTGGGTGTGGGATCAGTAATCTGTTTTAAGAAGCCCTCTAAAAGTGATTCTGATGCCCTATCCCACTTCCCTGCTTAAGCTGTCTCCAAAGAACTTCTTTGACCATTTTCTATGTTTATATTGCCATGTCCCTTCATCCTTACCTACTGCTAGAATACAGCTCCAAGAGGGCAAGAATTTTTATATATTCGGAAGCCTGTTTGTCTCCCACTAAGAAGTACATCATAGGCCTCATTATTTGCTAAACTTTCTTCTAAGTAACTGTGTACTCCACTTATGAGTCTGTGACCACTAAATCTGTATTTCTAGTACTTTATTGGACATAGCCATCTAGAGGTCCCACAGGCCCCTCAAATAGGCATATTCAGCCTACTCTTCCTCCAGAATCCCCTAACTTTATTAATGGCACCACCATCCCATTACTTCAACCAGAAAACTGCCATTTTCTTCACCTTTTTCCCAATCTCTCCATACATACTGTAGTCCAGTCCTGTGGAGCCTATCATCTAAATGTTTTCCAAAATATATCTTCTCTCTTCATCCTCAGTGCTTAAGTTAGCCCTTATCATTTCTCTCCTAGTTTTCAGTCAGAGCCTTCCACTGATCTCCCTGTCTCTACTTTTTTATTCCTTTGATTAATTTTCTGTATTTCTGGTATAGACTTTCTATAGAAAAAATCATGTTATTTAGCTACTGGATCTCTCAGCACCCTCTCCCCTTTCTTCAAAATAAAGTCCAAACTCCTTAGCATGACATTATGTGCCTTTCCTTAAATGATCGCTGTCTAGTCCTGGCCAAGTAGTTCAGTTGGTTGAGCATTGCCCAGATATACCAAGGTTATAGGTTTGATCCCTGGTCAGGGCACAAACAAGGATCAACCAATGAATGCACAAATAAGTAGAACAACAAATCAATGTTTCTCTTTCTCTCTCTGAAAATCAATCAATAAATAAAAATTTTAAAAAATGATCTCTCGTGCCTGGCTGGTGTGGTTCAGTGGTTGAGCGTCGACCCATGTACCAAGAGGTCCCCGGGTTGATTTCCAGTCAGAGCACATGCCCAGGTTGTGGGCCAAATCCCCAGTGGGGGGCATGTAGGAGGCAGCCAATTGATGTTCTCTCTCATCAATGTTTCTATCTCTCTTTCCCTCTCCCTTCCTCTCTCTCTAAAAGTCAATAAAGAAAAAAAGAATTTTTTTTAAATGATCCCTGGCTAATCAGTCACTAACAGCTACATATCCACAAACATCCTTTCTTCTACCACTCTGAAATTTCTGCAGCAACTCCAGAGTTCCATGCTTTCTTCTGCTTCCATGCCTTTGTAAAAGCTGTTCCCTAAACTGCACATCCTTTAAATTTAGCTCAAGTATCACATCCTCCCAGAAACCTTCCCTGATACTGCTTTGGGCTCTTTGCTGCCATAACACTCTGTACATACATTTATTATTGTACATATCAATATCCCGGGTTTTTCTGTTATTCTCTACACTCATTCCCAAACATGCGTAGGTAGAATGAGTACCTGTAAGTCATGATGCTATTTTCAGAACAATCTACTCTTTGTAGAATCACCTAGGAACATACTGATTAGCAGGAAATATGCTTACATATGTAGACATTCTCAAAAAGAATGATCACATGAGCTTTTATAATAAGCATAGTAAATACCTTCTGATGTTACTACTTATTCATTCCCTTTGGCATCTGTGAATGCTCACTAGTAGGCACCAAATTTTATCCATTAACTTTTCTAAAAAATCTATTCTCCATAAATTGGTAAATACCCAATTATTCAGTTTTTAGAGATTTAATTCCTCTTTAACATAGTTTGAAAATCTTTGATTTGGAGGGTGAAAACATTGGTTCTTTCCTTATGACTTTATGTCTAAAAAGGTATATATAAACCATTTCTGGATGACAGGATTATATATCATTTCCCCTCCACTGTATTAAAAAAAATGTGAAGCACACCAAAGTAGAGACACTAACACAATGAACCCTCTTACACCCTGATTCCAGTATAGATTCTAATCATCAAGACTGAAAATCACTTTGCATTTTCAGTCTTGCACTTTAAAATATGCACTTTACATTTTCCCCCACCATAAACAAATTGTAATAAGAAAAGTTATTTTTAGTTTAAATCAGTGATTTCAACATTTTTATTTCATGACACAAATAAACTCATTACTAAAATTCTGTGGCACACCAAAAAATATATTTCTTGACCAAAAAAAAAAAAAAGGTTTAATTTTGATTTATTCACACTAGATGGCTATTGTGTTGGTTGTTGTCATTTTTCGCTTTGACAATCTAACAGAAAAGAGGTCAGTGACCCTAACTAAATTAGTCATGTTATTGCATGTTTTATTTATTTATTTATTTTTATCCTCATCTGAGGACTTTTTTTTTTTTTTTTTTTGCGTTTATCTTCAGACAGAGAGAGAGGGAGAGAGAGAGAAACATTGATGTGAGAGAGACACATCAAGTGGTCCCCACCCACACAACCCCAACCAGGGCTGGGGACAAACTGCAACCAAGGTACATGCCCTTAGTGGGAACTGAACCAGGGATTCTCTGGTCCGCAGGCCGATGCTCTAACCACTGAGAAAACCAGCCAGAGCTTATGTTTTTTTGTTGATTTTTATTTTATTTTTTATGAAACATCGATGTGAAAGGGACTCATCGAATGGCTGCCACCCACACAACCCAACCAGGGCCGGGGACAAACTGCAACCGAGGTATGTGCCCTTAGCGGGAACTGAACCCGGGTCTCTCGGGACCGCAGGCTGATGCTCTACCCGCTGAGCCAAACTGGCCAGGGCTGTTTTTTTGTTTAAATATGTTTTTATTTATTTCAGAGAGAGGAAGGGAGCGAGAGAAAGGGGGAAAGATCAATCAGCTGCCTCCTACATGTCCCCTACTAGGGCTTAATCCCGAAAACCCGGCATGTGCCCTGACCAGGAATCGAACCTGGCAATCTCCTGGTGCATGGGACATCAACCAGCTGAACCACACTGGCCAGACAGGTATTGCATGTTTTAAAAATTCTTGCAGCACACAGTTGAAATTCATTGGTTTAAATGATTCAAAACTTATCAGTCATGATTACAACAGCTCTGTTTTTTCTTTTGGGCTAATACATTAGGGAAAAGAGGGATTTAAAAAAAGATGATTTTCCTGGGCAAGAGCTAGCTAGAAGAGAGAAAGAAAGTAGAGAGAGAAAATGAGAACTGATTGCACATACTGAGGGTTGGGGGCAACAGGGATAGTATGATAGAGTAAAAAAGGTGCGTTATTGAAGGCTAGTTTTGCGAAAACAGGAAATATCTGCTATTCAGTACTTAACATAGATGGTAAACATTAATAACTATTTGTTGTTGATGATGATAAAGTCAAACATTTGTAACTTGGAAAAAAATCTCTATTACAGATGGATCTGAGTAACAATAAAATTTGCTTCTTTCCCAGTATTCTTCCTGATGTCTTCCTAATTTATATCTCACAATGCATCATGCCTATCTTCATAGACTGAATGTTTGTGTCACCCCAAAGTTCACACACTGAGATCCTAGCCCTCAATTTGATGGTATTAGGAGGTAGGACCCTTGGGAAGTGATTCCATCATGAGGGAGCCTTCAAGAATGAGATTAGTGCCCTTATAAAACAAACCCCAGAAAGCTGGCTGGCCCCTTTCAGCCACGTAAGGGCATAGCCAAAACACATCCATTTATGAACCAGGAGCAGGCCTATACCAGACACTGATTGTGCTGGCACCTTGATCTTGAACTTCCCAGCCTCCAGAAATGTGAGAAATAAATCTCTGTTGTTCACGAGCCATTCAATCTATGATAATTTTTTTTACAACAGCCAGAACAGACTAAGACACTATCCTTCTTGTAGTTTACAAACTGTAAGTTCCTTTTCCTGGATATCCTACAAGCATGTCAAAATTTCAACCTGACCAAAAACAATTCATTATTTTCATCTCTTCTCCTTTATCCCTCTCCAACCAACCTGGCTGCTCAACCTAAAAACCTGGGGATAATTTTCAGCTCTCACTCCTATACCTAGCAAAGTCCTAGAGATTCCACCTCCTATTTCTCAAACTTGTTCGCTCCTCCTCTCTCTATCCCTGTCTTAATTCAGATCATCATCTCCTGCCTAAGTGCCTGCAATACATGGATCTCCTCACTACAAGGATCTTCCCTCTCCAGCCAGCCCTTCTTTTTCACACACAAAGGGCCATGTCATTGCCCTTCTTTTAAAAAACCTTTAAATCTTTCACTAAGAAGGTCCAAATTCTTTAATAATACAAGGGTCTTTCTAGTTCTAGCTCTCAATGTTTCACTCTCCACCATTCAATCTAGTCTCAATGAAATACTTAAGCACATTTAAATACTTCACACTCTTTCATAGCTCTATGTCCTTACCTCTGCCTAGGATGCTTTTCCTACCTCCACTTTCCACCTCTCTATCAACAGCATTGTAGAAAGGGCTTCTGACTTGAGCATGACTTCGGAATACCTCATTTATAAAGTCTGTTACAACTCCATAATTCTATACCTAATTACCATCCAATACCTTAATTATTCAATAAAGCCCTATTCCCCAACGACTGTGAGGCAAGGGTTTTATATTATTCATCTAGCACAGTGTCAGGCCCACAATACACACTAAGTAAGTATTTCTGAATGAATCAATGAGTGAATGAGGACTCCCACATATTAGAAGTAGCCTCCACAAGGATGGGGCCATTGTTTCCTACATACTATATCCCCAGCACCTAGAAAACTAGCTTTCATATAATGGGCATTAAATATTTTTCATTAACTAATCTACCTCCTAATTATAGTAAGGCCTGCAAACTTTGCTTTGCTTTGACCTCAAATCTCATTAGGCTTCTGTCTTCGGGTTGCATGGAACGGTACGAGGGTTAGGGATACGGAGGGAGGGGCAGGGTTCTCCGGCTGGGACAGGTCCGAGCAGTGGACCGCTCAGCAGCGCTGGAAATGTTAGAAGACTTAAGTAGGGCTGCCCAAATCCGTTGTGCAGTTAACCCTGCCGTAAATCATGGTAGAGGTAACACTGAAAGAAAGAAAATCTGCGGCCTGCAGTACACACGTATGCAAGTGGACAAAAAGATATCAAATAGTAGAAGATGCATAAGAAAAGAGGATAAAAGACCGAAGACAGCTCACAGGTTCCGGGGCTTAGGAAACCTGCAGGTGGACCAACTTGTCTACAACTCGGAGGCGTCGGGTGGCGATGGGACAGGGGTTGAAGGAAAGGACGGGGGGGAAACAGCGTCACCCCAAAAGGACCTCAAGGGCCTGTGGCAGCACTCACCATCTCCCCCTGCTCCGCGGACTTGTACACTCCTGACACCATCTCGTTGTGGAGAAGCAAAAACAACGCCTCGTCCGCCATGTCCTGCTTATTCTTCCAAGCTCTGGTGTTTGGCTCCCGCGTAGGTCTGGCTCGTGGGTTCCGGCTAGCGCCTCGGCGATTTGGGCTGCCCCGCCGCTCCCTCGGGCCGCGGCCCGTCCCTCGTTGCTAGGAGACCGGGAAATTCAGCTGGTTTCCTGAAGGCTGGTACTGGAGTGAGCCTGGGACAGGGCGAGCCCACCCCAGGGCCGCCAAACCTCCCCTCCGGCCTAACGAGACGGTCTGACAGCTTCGGGAACCAAACCGAGCCGGCGGAGACCCGGTCCGGCCCCTGGGTTGGGGGCGGAAAAAGCAACTTCCGGTCCCCTCTACCCCGGTATTTGCCCGCTCTATGGTCACGGAGTTCCTCCCCTGGCGTGAACGGCTGGAGCCATGTGATACTGCGGCTCGGGGTTGGGACTGGAGCAGTGTGAAGACGCCAGGGGCTCCCACCGCCGTCTCTGTGAATTTTCTAGGAGTCAGATGAAGCAGCAAGACTGTCTGTCCGCTTCATCAGAAGCTCCCACTTCCTGCCAGTGTTCAGTAGGTAAAATTGTAAAAAGAGTGAATAAGTCATACTTTTTCAGGCTATAAATTTTAGTAGTATTGAGAAATTATCCCAATCCATATTGTTTAAGCCAGCCTAGGTATGCAAAAAGACTGAAATCCATTTTGGTCGCCAACGAGGGTGTGAGAGGCAACGGAGTAAGCAAAGAACATGATATTCTTGGACCAGAAAACACAAATTAATCAGAGGATTAGGTGATAGAAAAAGTGTTAAAGACTTCAGAAGAGCAACGTCATGATGGGCTGGAGTTCATAATAATTTATGACAGATGTGAAACCACTACGGAGGGGCAAATACAACGTTAGATGTATGCATCTCTGAAATTTGGCAAATCTGGCTTGAACGTGTTGCTTAACATGTGATTAGTTCTTTCCTTAATAATTGGCAAAGCAGATTTGTTTCCAATTCATTAATTGCTTCCCCAAAATGAACATACTGAGTTTTCTCATTCTTTTTTGCATGACAGTGATTTTTTTTTTTAAATCCTCACCCGAGGACATTTTTTCCATATTTTGTTCAGATAGAGTGGAGGGAGAGAGAGAGAGAGAGAAACATCAACGTGAAAGGGACACATCGAGTGGTTGCCACTCACATGACCCAACCAGGGCTGGGGACAAACTGCAATCCAGGCACGAGCCCTTAGAGGGAACCGAACCTGGGTCTCTCTGGCCAGCCGGCTGACGCTCTAACTGTTGAGCCAAACCTGTCAGGGCAAGTTTTCTCATTCTTAACAACCTCTCAACTCTTCATATCCTTTCACAGGAATTTTTTTTTTTTTTTTTTTTAATATCCTTGATAAGTATGTTCAAACTGCGAGCGGTAGGAATTTAAGATCTTGTTCCATATTTGGGATTGTGGTAAAAAAATTTTTCTAGTGCTTGGATCAGTTTACTATTTATTATTACTTTTTTCTTTATTGATTTTAGAGAGAGAGGGAGAGGAAGAGAGAGAGAAAAACATCGATGAGAGAGAACATTGACTGGCTGCCTCCTGAATGACCCCCACTGGGGATTGGACCCACAACCTGGGCATGTGCCCTGACTGGGAATCAAACCTGTGACCTCTTGGTGCATGGGTTGACACTCAACCACTGAGCCACACCAGCAGGGTTGGATCCATTTATTTGATCATCACATAAAACAAGTTCCACCTAAGCCTTGACCAGTTTGGTTCAGCGGTTAGAGTGTCAGCCTGCAGTCCAGAGAGACCCAGGTTTGGTTCCTACTAAGGGCACGTACCTCTGTTGCAGTTTGTCCCCAGCCCTGGTTGGGTCTTGCAGGAGGCAGCCACTCGATGTGTCCCTTTCAGTCGATGTTTCTCTCTCTCCCCCTCCCATTCTATCTGAGCAAAAAATGGAAAAATGTCCTTGGATGAGGATTAAAAAAAAAAATTTCCACCTAAGCTTTTGAAAAACACTAAAGAGTGTAATTTTGAAACCATAATCCTAATGTTTCCAGAACTAAAATTCCCCATATGTGAAGCCAGGTCCTTTATATCCCAGTTGCATTCTTTCTTTATCGCCACCATCAAAGAACAGGATGAATCCAAGCTCACCACTAAGGTGGAAGAGGAAGCAACTGACCAACTTATTAAGGTTGATTTCTCAAACTACAATAACATGGAGTTCTTAGACTATTTTGGAATATAGAAGGGAAACATTTATTGAGCACCTACTAAATGTTGAACACAGCATTTCACTCCCCACATAAAGCAGATGATGTTAAATTGTGTAGGATCCAAGTAATAGATCCTTTGGAAACTGGAATAATCCTGGTTTTGGTTAACTCTAAAAGCATTTTCTCACAGAAACACTTCTATTTGGTGTTAGGATCTACTGTTACCACGTTCTCCTGGTTCATGTACTGCCTGTAACATGGGATTGTAATACGGATCAATGAGACCAAGTATGCTCATAATCAGAAAGAAATAATCAACCCTCGTCCTTCTTACCTAGCTTTACTTCCTCTTTCTTCAATAGCACTTCTCTGTTTCTAATGTTGGGGTGGAAAAGTTTTCCTTCTACCTTCCTAGGTTTGTTGGCTGGTTTAATAAATAAGCTGCATAAAACAGATTAACAGGAGAAAAATAAATTTAATTTCATGAATATGGGAGCTCCATAAAAATCTGAGACCCCAAAGGCAGTTAGGTAATTGAAGTTTATATGCTGCCCTTAGCTAAGGAATGGGACAGGGACCTGGGGCTTCAAATGGGAGGACAATTCACAGGAAAAAGAGCAGGTGTTTGGTAATCAGATGTTTGCCCTGCCATTCAGGTAAGCCTTTCAGATAAAATGTTCACTCTCAGGTTATGTACTATAATACTGTACACTTGCAACATAATCTTATTAACCAATGCCACCCAATAAATTTTATTTTTAAAAAAGAAAGAAAAATGAACTCTGATAATATCTCTTTCTGGCCCAGGCCCCCTAACTAAATTATTTTAGGTTGTTAGAGAGAGGTAAAAGTTTTTCTTAAGTCTGCTGAGTCTTAATTGCATTCACCTCAAAATAATTCATATGCCAAACTGGTACATTTTGAGGTAGCATATTCTTTCTTTCACTAACACACTACATAATTTACTTTGTCCTGTCTCCACACTCTTTCTGTTCCCAAGTTCCTTGAGGTTAGAGACCTTTATTGTACACTGATGCATGTAACTTCTTGGCATAGCGTCTGGCACATAACAGGCATTCACTAAATATTTGTTGAATGAATGAGTACTTGAATGATCTTTGCCCCCTGAGGAGTTTATAAACTCCAGGAAGCAGGAACCACAGCTACCTTGTTCTAGGATTTATCCTCAGAGCCTAGGTTACTGTTTATACATCATAGGAGCATTTAAAGGTTGGGTCAATTAAAATGGGACCTGGAGTTAAATGCAGTTGCCTGCTAATGCTCAGTGCTATGAGGATGCCTGGCTGACAGTTGGAAAACGAGAATCCAAAGGTTTTTCGTAGCATTGTTTCTGTGAGAAAATGCTGAGCTATAGTTTGCAAATATATTTCTGATGCAGTTAGAGCCGAACCAGAAGTTGGACAACAATCTCTCTCTCTTTCACACACACACACACACACACACACACACACATACCCAGCACCTCTCCCTGGATCACATCTTAAGCTAACTAGCTCTGGGCAAGGTGTAGAGGCTAATGTCTGCCTCATTTGTCTCGTCGCTTTTTTCCTCTAGTACAGCCTTGCACAGGGTCTGATCCGACTGTGATCCTAGGCTGGCAAGACCTAGGGACAGTTAGTTAACAGTATCCCCAAGACTCAGTTTTCTTATCAGGAAAAGCAAGCATTTTATTAAAGCTTTGGGGAGGCATAAGGCATGTAAAGCGTTTCACAGTGTCCCCCCAAATAACTGTTAGCTATTACGATTAATGACTTTTCCTGTTGCTTCATTCTGTGCTTTCCTCTGCTAATCCGAGGAAGCCTGCTCCATGCCACACTCTGGGCATGCGCACCAACAGAACGGCCGCACCCTTTCCTACTCTAATCACTGATGGGGAGTGGGAGAATAGACTCGCCTCCGACCCACTTTGACGTGATTAGGTGGCTAAAACCGCGTAAAGCACGTCGTAGAACAGGTTAAAAGGGCTGCAAAACTCCGCGCTCCTCTCCTGGAGAGCCAGCCCGCGAGGCCGCGTCTCTGAGGACCCAAGGACTCACAATCCCGCCCCGGGTCTGCGCTAGAAGCGAGCCCAGCCACCCGCAGCTACTTGGGGTGGGAGGGACCGGCAGGCGGACTTTTCATTGGCTCAGAATCTCAAATGCCGGCTGATTCCCCCCCTTCCGGTTGCGAATGGTTGAGGCCAAAAGCAACGGCTGCGGTCATTGGCTGAGCCCAGCCGTCAGTCCTCTCGCGTCTCGCGGCGCGACACAGCTTGGCGCGGCCTGTGGAGCAGTCTCGAAGCCTGCTGCAGGGAGAAGATGGCGGTCGCAGTGAGAACTTTGCAGGAGCAGTTAGAAAAGGCCAAAGAGAGCCTAAAGAACGTGGATGAGAATATTCGCAAGCTCACCGGGCGGGATCCGAATGACGTGAGGTAAGGGCCGGATGAGAAATGTCGGTTCCGAGAGGCAGCCCTCAAGTCAGGTCGAATGGGGGGCGGGGAGGGCGGCCCGCTATGAGAAGGCTGTAATATCGAGGCCTCTTCCCGGGGCGGCTATCGAACCGAGTCTTCGGTGAGATGGAGAGTCTCCAGGGCTCCCGCCGTAGGTCCCCGGGCTCCGGTGCGTGAGCAAGGAGAGCGGGGCCTGGGTGCGCCGGACGGCTCCCAGGCCTGTGGCAAGGCCGGGACTGCCGATTCCCGCCTTGCTCTGCAGGCCCGGAACTGCAGCACAAAGCCCCTTCCCCCGCCGACGACCACCCGGCCCAGGCTGCCCCGGCGACCCTTCCGGGACACGGTTTGCCCCCTCGCTTCCAGACTCTTGTCCACGTGCAGTTTCCTTGGGGTTGGCGAGATTAGCAACTGATCCAAGTGTGTTCACCGTCGCGGTCAGTGGGATTTGTGTGATAATTGGTCTTGGAAGAATAAGGAAGTTAAAGTAAAATAGTAAAGGAACGTAAATAAAATCGTTCTTCCTGCCCTTTTTCAAACACGTGGCTTTGGTCTGTCTTTAGAACTTCCCTGGGTGTTTTCTCCTTAGGATTAGTCTCACCTTTGAATGAAATACGTTAGATCTGTCCACGTACGGTATTTGCACTGACTTGTAAATGTTCCGTAGGCCCATCCAAGCCAGATTGCTGG